CACATGCTTTTTCCTTTTAGACAAGCAAGCAGTTAGCAGCAGCATTCCAGGAGGAGTTCACTGTGCGAGAGGACCTGATGGGTCTGGCAATTGGGACTCATGGTGCCAACATCCAGCAGGCCCGAAAAGTACCTGGGGTGACTGCCATCGAGTTGGGTGAAGAGACCTGCACTTTCCGCATCTATGGGGAGGTCAGCAAAAGATCTGTCTGGTCCTGAGGGGATAGAGGGATGAGAGGCTGAAGTGGAAAGCAAACCTGAGTAATAGTGACTTCCCATCCTGACTTTGGTAGCAGCCTGTTTCCTCAAAGTTAGAGAGTGGTAGGGAGATCCACTCCTAGTCCTTCCTCTTTATCTTTTATTTATTTATTTATTTATTTTTCTTTTATTATTCATACGTGCATACAAGGCTTGGGTCATTTCCCTCTTTATCTTTTAGTAACAATTCCATACTCTTCTCATAGACCCCTGAGGCGTGCCGACAGGCTCGAAGCTACCTGGAGTTTTCTGAGGACTCTGTGCAAGTACCCAGAAACCTGGTTGGTGAGTTGGGTTGTGTGTATAAAAGAGAATGTAGATAGAGTTAGGAGCCAAATATGAGATTTGTGGAAGTGATTGTAGGTGTGTAGTTGAGATTGGCACCACTCTGTGGACTTGGCAGTTTCACAAGGACAGAAGAAATACTCTGTAGAGACTGAGTATTTCATGCTGTGAAAACTTGTCTGAAACCTAGAAGCAGAAGAATGAATTAAGTGGAATCCATACAGACAAGGGAGATAAGTCTGGAAGACATTTTCTGTTTCTGCTCGTCATTTCCTTTTTTTAAAAAAAAAAACCTAATTCTTTTTTTTACTCATTCAGGCAAAGTGATTGGAAAGAATGGGAAAGTGATCCAGGAGATTGTAGATAAATCTGGTGTTGTGAGGGTTCGTGTGGAAGGTGATAATGACAAGAAGAACCCCAGGGAGGAGGTACGGGACCTGTAGGCCCAGAGATTGGTTTCCACCTGTAGAAGGAATTGTTTCCTGAGGGCTGGGGACTTCTAGAGGGTGGAGCACAGTAATTTTTGTTTCCCCTTGCAGATTGTGATCCCACTGGGTAGGGTTAATATTTCTATTTTCCTTTCTAATTTGTCATTTCTTTTGCTTTCCTCTCCAGGGAATGGTTCCCTTCATATTCGTTGGCACCCGAGAGAATATCAGCAATGCTCAGGCGCTGCTGGAGTATCACCTCTCCTACCTGCAGGTAGCCACACTGGAAGCCTGGGAGAGAGATGGGCTATATACCACAAGGGGGTGGAGGATTGCTGATGGATAAACTTTGAGATTGTGATGACCACTTTGTTTCTCCCATCCAAGTACTAACCAGGCCCGACCCTGCTTAGCTTCCGAGATCAGACGAGATCGGGCGCGTTCAGGGTGGTATGGCCGTAGACACTTTGTTTCTCTATAGAAGACCACCATTGTAGATATTTGGGGTGTGGGATTGGATCCTCAAATTTTCCTTGTTCAGCTAGTGTCTTCCTTCTCCTTGCATTCCTGAAAGCTTAGCCATGTAGAGACCCTCAGGATAGAGAAGCATGAAGAAAGATCCACTGATCTTGTTCCTTCTTTTTCCTTCTTCCCAACCAGGAGGTAGAGCAGCTTCGCTTGGAGAGGCTGCAAATTGATGAACAGCTTCGGCAGATTGGGCTGGGCTTTCGCCCTCCTGGGAGTGGACGGGGTGGCAGCGGTGGTAGCAGTGACAAGGCTGGCTATACCACAGATGAGAGCTCCTCCTCCTCCCTTCACACAACTCGAACCTATGGGGGCAGCTATGGGGGCCGGGGCCGGGGCCGTAGGACTGGCGGTCCTGCCTATGGTGAGTTATTTGTGGGGCCAGTAGAGGAGGCAGATAATCTGAGTGGAAACTTGGGGAAAACTTTGATGCAAGTGAAGAGGTGCCTGGCTGGGGTGCTTTGTGAGTGAGAGGGAGAACTCTTCTAGCTGGAGGGTAGTGGTGGATCCTGGAGTAAGATGAGTATCCCTGAGTAAACCGCTCTGCGTTCTTCAGGTCCCAGCTCAGACCCATCCACAGCTTCTGAGACAGAGTCAGAGAAGAGAGAGGAGCCCAGCCGAGCTGGGCCTGGTGACCGAGATCCCCCAAGCCGGGGGGAAGAAAGCCGAAGGCGGCCAATTGGGGGCCGGGGTAGGGGGCCCCCACCTGTCCCCCGGCCCACCTCGAGATACAACTCTTCATCTATTAGCTCAGGTACCATTGGCGGGAGTCATGGATGTGGGTCCAAAGGAGAAATGGTGGTTCTTTGACTCCCAGCCTTTCTTCCTCTTATCAGTGCTAAAGGATCCAGACAGTAATCCCTACAGTCTATTGGACACATCTGAACCAGAACCTCCAGTTGATTCAGAGCCTGGGGAGCCCCCTCCAGCAAGTGCCAGACGCCGCCGCTCCCGCCGCCGCCGCACTGATGAAGACAGGACTGTCATGGATGGAGGCCTGGAGTCAGATGGGCCCAACATGACAGAGAATGGCCTGGGTGAGAGGCATGCCTAGGGTGTGAGAAGTAGGAGATGGGTAAGAGTAAGGGATGGTTGGGTGGATGTATGATTCCTTTTTCTTTACCCCACAGAAGATGAATCAAGACCCCAACGCCGCAATCGTAGCCGCCGCCGCCGCAATCGTGGTAACCGGACTGATGGGTCTATCAGTGGAGACCGCCAGCCAGGTCAGCTGACACTGAACAGGAATCCTTCTGGAGCTGAGAATGGGATGCCACCTGCCCTAGGAGAACTAGGGTTGGATTCAGTGGGAGTATGGGACTGAATACCTAAGTTCTTTCAGAAACCTTTGATTTTCTGCCTTCCCTAGTGACTGTGGCTGACTATATCTCACGAGCAGAGTCTCAGAGCCGCCAGCGGCCACCTCTGGAACGTGCTAAACCCTCAGATGATTCCCTTTCAGGACAGAAGGTAGGTGGATGAAATACAGTTTATCCCCCTCCTTTTTTCTTATTCTAGAGCAGGGGGCGTAAAATATTTCCCAAAGGAATCTCTTAGTTGCCTCATTGGCTGTGTCCGATAGGGTTTAGGCTGCACTGAGAATAGTGCAGAGTTGGAACAGAACAGAGAGGAAGGCATGGCTCATAGCAAGTGACTAGAGTGGTGATCTGGGAAGTAGCTCCTGATCTCTAGGTGCCCAGGGATTAATGGGAGGGAATGCCTACACTAGATCTAATAGGCTGTTTTCCTTCCTTTCCATTTTTCTCACTGCTTCCTCCTTAGGGCGACTCTGTCAGCAAGCTTCCTAAGGGCCCCTCTGAGAATGGGGAGCTCTCCGCCCCCTTGGAGTTGGGTAGCTTGGTGAATGGGGTTTCATAAAACCTCCAGCCCACATCCCTCCTTTCTCCATCTCGCTTGCTGCCCACCACCATGGCCCTTGGGCCCAACTGACCTGCGCTGGAGCTGCTCTTATCTAGGGGGGAGGGGGGGTGGCACAGCAGCTTGGGTCCCCCCCAATCTCCAAGAGCTAGTGGAGGGGTGTGTAACAGGGTCATACCCCCCCTCCCTCTTGTCCACCCTACCCCCAAGGGTGAAGGGAGCCTCCCCTTCCCCATCAGACTGGATGTGCCTTTATCCTCTAATGCCCCAACCTCTGAGCACCCCCATTCTCCGCCTGTTGGTGGGGGTGCTTCTTGACCCACCCAGATTTGACAGTTCAGGGGGGCTCCCCTGCTATCCCTCCTCCCATCCTGTATCCCCCATTTCTGGGGCCTCATCACTGTGGAAGACTGGGATAGTAAGGGTATCCATGGGTGGGAGGCATGGGGAAGGTTTTGGAGTAGAACCAGGGGTGTGTATGAAGGGGGGTGACAAGGTCCCCCAGGGGGATGGGGATCTAACCTTGTCTGGTGGATGAGAAGGCGTATTTATTTTTCACTGTACAGTATTTAAAAAGAGAATAAAAAATCCAAATGGCCCTATGGTTCCTACTCCTTCCTTGTCCTAAGGCCGGTCCATTGAATGTCTAGAGCTGACTTCCCCTGGTCCTTGTTCTCTGTTCCTCCCCACTTGGCTTCCTTCTGTGTCAGGAAGATGGTCTGGGAACTCCCAACATCCTAAACTCTCCAGCACCAAGTACCCTCCAGAGGAGGGTGGCTCAGGCTTTCTTGCTCCCTCTGGTTGCTTGTAGAGTTGAGCCACTCCTGTTCCCTGAGTCACTAAAGCCATTCCTGCTAGGAGCTGAGAGCCAGGGCCGGCTGCTTAATCTGATTACTATTACTGAGGCCCTGGGGCGCAGGCTGGGCCTTGGGCAGAGTGGAGAGCAAAGTTTTCTTCACAACAGCCTCTGGAAATCTAGGGGTCCAACCCACATCACTGACCTCTCAGCTCTTGGGAGATTTCCTGGCTCCTTCCTGTTGACTTGTGTTTGATAATAAGATTTGCCATAATTCAGTGGCAATGGAGAAATCTCTGGGGGCTGGATGTTGGAGGGTCTGAGTTTTCTCACCTGGAGAAAAGGATTGAATCACCAGCCCAAGCACCTGTTGGAATGACTCAGAAAACAAAAATGGCCTACCTCTGACTGCGTGTGACTTTCTTGCCCAAGGGGCAGGTCAGGGGTTTGAGGAGCTATCCCAAAAAAGCAGAAGAAAATGTACTGGAGTGGGAAGTGGGACCATCCCAAATTCCTAACACTACTCTGGCCCTGAGGGTATTTGATGACCTAGTGCTTGATCCTATTGTAGAAACAATTGACTTTAAATTGCCAGTGCTTGAGAAGGGAAAAGGAAATAGTTGTAACAACCTCGGACTGGAAGGCCTGACTTCTAGGCCTTGGGTGGAGAAGGGGGCGTGGTGCCCCAGGGGAGGAGTTTGGGGCTGGGAGGAACAGGACACCTGGGATTGCTTGGGTGGGGGGGATGTTGGCTCAACCTCTGGGAGGGATTGGGGAGGAGTCAGTCTTTAAAAGCTGTTCCTGAGCCAGCCCGCCAGTCACAGACAATTAGCCCAGGTAGGAGAGGCTTGTGGCACATCAGCTGCACCACTGGAACTGGCAGCTGCGGGAGCTCTGGAGTCCCACAGAGCGTGGGTCTGCCTGCAGCTTCCACTGGACCACTGTCCTTGCAGCAGAGGGTAGGGGGAGAGAGACTCAGGGTTGCAGAACTTGGAAGTAAGAGAGCAGCGCATAGCCTCTCCAGGACAGGGGTGCCAGACACCAAGGATTTTGCATTTGACTCTACAAAGTGTACCGAATTGATTGAGGCAAAGGCTCCATTTCAAGAACTCTGAACTTGGGGATGATACATACTTCTTAAGAATCCAAGCTTCTCTGCCACCCCTCCAGACTGGGAAGACACTTCCATCTTAAGGGTCCTTCATTTTGAGAAGAGGGCATCCAGGACGCTAAGGCTCTCCCCAACCCATGGCACTACCTGGCTCCTCACAGGCTGCCTGGAGCCTGGAGCCTCCAGCTCCCACAGCTACCTCCTCGTCTTCAGGACTTCAGGTACAGGATGGTGCCAGGAGCCCTGTGGCACCACAGGGGCTTCCCCTGGAGAAGGTGAAGCGACCCATGAACGCGTTCATGGTATGGAGCTCCGCTCAGCGCCGCCAGATGGCGCAGCAGAACCCAAAGATGCACAACTCCGAGATTTCGAAGCGCCTGGGTGCTCAGTGGAAGATGCTGGGTGAGGAGGAGAAGCGGCCCTTTGTGGAGGAGGCCAAGCGGCTGCGCGCCCGGCACCTGCGCGACTATCCCGACTACAAGTACCGGCCCCGGCGCAAGACCAAGAGCTCGGGCGCTGGCCCTCCGCACTTCAGCCAGGGAGGAAGCGGTGTGGTCTGCAGGGGACCGCACTGGGGGCCAGGGTACACAACCACCCAAGGGAGCAGAGGATTTGGGTACCAGCCTCCAAACTACTCCACAACCTACTTGCCTGGAAGCTATGGGTGAGTAGTGTCTGGGAAACAACAGGGTAGGGAGGAAGACGCTCTTGCCTCCCTGAAGCCTGGGTTGGGGCGCCTGCTAGAGGGCCAAACCGAAGGGAGACCTGAACCCCTCGTAAGCAGAGGCCACACCCAGCTGAGGTTAGGTAGGAGGGTCCTGGTGGCTCAGGTTTCCCCCAGAGGGTCTTTTCATCTCAGCTGGATGCGTTCCAGTTGCTGGGATGTCCCATTTCCCTGTTTCTTGCCCGTTTGTGACCTGGCTTCCTCTCCCAGCCCCCAGGGCAAGGAGAGGCCTAGCCCATCCTGCCCCTTCCTGGCCTGCTGCCCCAAAAGAGGAAAACAGCAGCACAGCACGCAAGCCCTCTCGTAAGCGTGCCCCAACAAGGTTGCCCTGCTCTCTAATCCATCTTAGGGTCTGGTCCCATGCCTGCTGAACCCAGTGTGGCTGGCTGGGTGGCAAGTTCTACCTCTGTCTGCCCAGAACTGGTCAGACCAGTCCCCCAAATGAGAGTTGGTTACAGTGCTCAGCCCCTCCAACCCAGAGAAGTAACCTAACCCCATTTCTCTTTGCAGCTCTAACCACTGTAGACTGGAGGCTCCCTCATCGTGCTCCCTCCCTCAGAGTGACCCTGGGCTCCAGGGGGAGCTGCTACCTCCTCATGCCCCATACCTACCCTCAGGCTCCTCTACTCCTTACAACACTCCCCTGGCTGGTGTCCCCATGCCCCTAACCCACCTTTAACTCCATGTACGTGGACCTCCACCTCCCAGGAGGGCCACATCCTCCTTTCCCACCAGAACCACCCCCACAGCCCCAGGTTGCAAACCCTTTCCTGTGTGGTACAACAGTTCAGAAGCCTACAACCCTCCCAGGAAAGCCAGGGTGAGCAAAACCACACTAAACCCAGTTTGTATTATCAAACCATGTCTGTTGAGTCTTTATTGTTCCATGTCTTCTCCCCTCCTGCCCTCCCCAACTGCAAAAGGAACCAGTGCCATATCCACTCCCTTCTGCCTAGGCCTGCCAGGACAGGAACCATCTCACCCCACCCTGGAAGCCTTACCTGAGTCATTCTGTCCCCCCTTCCCCCAACTCCAGCACTAGGGTCCAGAAGACCAGTCCCAGCCAGGCTGGGGAAGGGAGGCAGCCACAGATCCCCAGTCCCTTCTACCCAATGTCCATACTCTGCCTTTCAGTACCAGAAAGGATGTAGAGTAGACAGAACGAGGTATTTGCCCCAATAAGGAAATTGCTATTATGAAGGACTCTTAAGCCAAACAATGAAATGAGTGAATAGTATGTGAACAGGACTTAGAAAAACTTTACTAAAAACAAAGCCTGGCTCAGAAAGCTGCAGTTACCCAGGAATGGTGGATGATTAAAAGTCACACCAGCACACAGGCTTAGATGGGGAGGATCCTGAAGTTGGGTGGATGAATGGAAACAGAATGACTCCAGTAGCTGGCTCAAATCTACTGCTCCTTCTGCTTGTGGGGAGGCTTGGTGTTCCAGTAGAAGAGGACCTGGATGGCAATGAGGCCATTGCAGAGGGAGGAAACCACAAAGACTCCAGCCATGAGGGGGTCTCCAGTTTCCTAAGGATAAAGGTTCCAGACAGAGGGCAACTTTAACCCTCAACTAAGAAAGGTAGGTTGAGGTTTTAATGCCCTCTGGAGGGCAGAAGGTGCACTCACCTGAATGGAAGTGAAGATTCGGGTCAGAGAGCCCCCAAACAGCAGAAAGACTGTGATGGCTGAGAGCTGGCCTGTGTGCCCATTGCAGTAGTTGGTGGCTGCCTGGAGCAGCTAGGAGAACAGTCCAGACCTTTGGTTCTCTAATTTGATTTTTCCTATTCCTTCACTCTTAATACCCCATATGCTTTAGGCTTCCATTCTGCCCCTGAGCCCTGTCCCCCACTTCCCAACATTCTTTCCCTTGTTCCAAATACCCACCTTGCCCACAACCACAGCAGGCACATTGGAGGCCTGGAGCAGGGTGACTACAGCCAAGGGCGTGAACGGTGAAAGCAGCACCAGAAGGACGAGTGCGTAGCAGGCGAGGAAAGCTACTCCTGGGGTGAAGGAGTCAAGAAATCCTCAATCTCCTTATGTACTCCAGCTTCCCCAGGCCTGAGTTCCCCGCAAGGTTCCCAAGACCCACAGGGCAAATTCCCAGCCAGCACCTTTCACAGTCTGTCCTCTGTAGTGCATGACCAGAAAGCAGATGGTGACTGTCTGGAGGGTCAGGAACAGGGCTTCACCCCAAGAGCTGCAGAGTCAAGAGTTGGGAGGAAGAAAGGCAGGCCTGGAAAGAGGCAGGGAAAGCCTCCATAGCCTGTCCATTGGGGACACAGTTCTCTGATTACCCTGTCCTCTACAATCCACACCTCCCACCCCTGAATGACTCATCACCTCTATCAGTGTGATGAGGCTTCTGGAAGGGCTTAAGTTTTCCTACCTTTTTACCTTCCTCATCTTACCCCCCATTAGAAATATGGGCATTTACCCTTGGGGATGAAGGGTAGACTCCTCACCTGAAAGGGAAATTGTTGGTGATGCTGTAGACCATGGTCCCAGTCAATGCCATCAGCTCCAGCATTACTGACTGGAGACTGAGCCCTTCTGCACTCTTGGCTCCCAGGATTTTAAGTACCTGGGGCAGCTTTACTAGGGAAAGGATGAGAAGGGCAGGGTTGTGGAGCCTCCATCCCTTGGCAGCACAATACAACAGCTACGAAATGGATTGGGAAGTGTGTTAACCCCAATTTTGGCTAAGGGACCCATACAGTAGTATGGCTTCTCAGCACCTCCACTCTTATCTCATCCCGACAGCAGGAAGGAAAGATACATACCAAGAAGTGACCCAGCCACAATGCCCAGCCCCAGGCCTTTGCTGATCAGAATCTTGAGGCAGGGACCTGAGCAGAGAAAAAGCAAGCAGAAAGGCTACCTCGAGCCCAGACCAGGGCTTGAAGTGCTCCTGTGGTCTGTCCCCTCATCATCTTTCCATGTCCACAAGAGATCTTGGCCTCTGGGGTGGGGTCAAGGGTGGGGGGAAGTGGTGGTCCTTCCTATTCCAAATCATCTCGCATTCAGACTTTCCGAATCAGCTTCTACCATAATGCCCACACTCTCACCCAATCTTTCACTCCCTACAAATATAGCTAAACTCCTCAGCCTGACTTTCAGGTCTTTCCATTGCTTTCCAGTAACATGGGCAATGTCTAAGAGTTCTTTGGTCCTTTTTTCATCCTCCAAACTACTAGGTGGTCCACTTCACACACACTTTTGGAAAGCAGATCTCTATACCACTCATTCCTGAAATCTCTGTCCCTAGCCCTTACTCAGGGGTTCTTCCAGGATTTGCTTTTAGCCACCACCTGTAACTTCTCTATCCTTCAACCTTCGTTCCAAGGAGCTTGACCCGCTGGGACTCAAGACTCATGGGTCAATACGCTTTAATGGTGTCCCGCGATCACTCAGGAGGCAACACGAACTGAGGGGACAGACCAAGAAGGCTTCCCAGTGGGACTAATGTATGAAGTCAGCCTTGCCGTGGAGCCGCCTCGTAAACCGAAAGAGGAAGGCAAATGATTCCAAAATTAGATCAGGAGCCAACATAAAGGCTGAAAGGAAAAAAAACTAGCTTGTCAGGGATGCAGATGAAGGCCGGGTTTGATCAATTTTTTTTTTTTTTAAATGTGAGCCTTGGGCTGGGATGTAGCTCAGTGGTAGAGCACTTGCCTAGAATGCGTAAGGCCCTAGGTTCGATCCCAGTATCGGAAAAAAAAGGAAAGGAAAGGAAAAAAAACCCTAAAATGTGAGTCTTCTCGTCTCATTGAAAAATCACAAACTTCAGAAGTACTTGCACCCGGCAACTATCCGCTCTGCCCAAATATGGCGCCTTCCATAGCGGAGACCGAGACACTTCCGCCCTCCTCCTCAGAAGCGCCTTCCGCCCACCTCGGGGTGTCAAGCAGCCTCTGCTGTCACTTAGGTTCCAGTCACGCCTCATTTATAGTTCAAGGTCCTCGAGCAAGACTTTGATTGGAAGCTGAATAAAACTCACCATCAAGTAAGTCCCACTGGACAAAAAGTTTGTCGTAGCATTTCTCAGGTAAAAGAATCGGCACCAGGGCCCGTTTGAACAGTCTTTCTGCTTCGGCCGCCATGTTGGAAAACTAACTTCCGCCAGTCTTTGCAGTCCGCCATTGATTTATGCTGCGCATGTGCGCTTTGACCACCCCGCCTCTTGTTCTTTCCCACGAGAAGTGCACCTTCCGGTTCTCCACCCTTTCTTAACGCCATCCCAGTTTCAGGAGCGTAAAATAGGTCTCGTAGAAAGCCCGCATTTCGTTTGCCCCTGCCCTTCGAATTTTAAAAGGTGCCAGAGCTGTACGCCTGCGCACTTAGACCTTCCGCGCTTTTGTTTATGCTTCAGCTGGGCAGCAAGATTTATCCCTCTTTCTCCGCCCCGCCTGCTATGCGCCATCTTGTCTTCTCCCAGCCAAGTTTGTATTGTTCGAAGTTAAGAGAAAAGAAGTGTGAGTCTCCAAAATGGCGTTGGTGGGGGCGCTCCCTTAGCTCCCCTTCTCTTGGGGTCTCCAGAAGGAATGGCATAGGCAGGAGCAGGTTAGGCTGTGCCGGACAGCCCTCCCACCCCATGCTTCGCCCTCCTCTGGCGAAGGAGGAAGCCCACCAGCGACTACAGGACAGTGGAGATGAGGGACGCGAGCTCAGCTGCAGGACAGCAGCCCCTGACCCACCATATGGGTCGTAGAGCTTGCAGTTTCTCTTGGGCAGACTCCTTTCTCACCCCATTACCCCAAGGCGCGTCACGTGCTGGGCCAGAACTTCCACAAAGCTGAGTGGGCCCAGAATCTGCTTGGGAAAGGACAATTTGGGCTGCTGGTGGGAACGCTGCGCATCACGGTGGAGTTGCGCCTGGCCATCACACTCCGTGGCCTGCTTTGCGATGGTCGGACTGCTGGGCCCTGCCTCGTGCACCTCGGCGGGCCGGGGCTCCGGGCTTCGGAGGCTTTCTATACCTTCTTGGGGCTCCTACCCTGGGAGCGGGGAGCTGGAAGGCTCATCCTGGCTCTGTGGTGAAGGTTAGGACTTGCACTCAGTGGTGGTGCAGACTGTGGCCAGCTGGAAGTCCCTTTAGAATCTCGCCTCCCAGAGACACCACCCCTCCTCCCAGATACTGGGGGTCAGAGCCTGCTGCTGCCCAGCAGCACAATTGTGTGTGGAGTACCCATTGCACCTGTGGTTAATGCAATGCTTTGTAGTGGGTAGGGAATTCTCACTGCTCAGGATCCACTGACTGCCGCCTTTCAGAGTGAAATCACTTAGCCACCTACTTACTGCTTTGGCTTTCTGCTGTACCCTGTAACTGTACATGAGGGTTGGGAAGGGAGCTGCACGTACAAACAGCTTCACTGAGTGTGTGTGGGGGGACCATTGGTCCCAGAAGGGACTAAAGAAGGGAGTTGGGAGTAAGGGGATTGTGGCCGGTTCTATGCCAGTTATGCCAGGTTTTGGGGGCGAATCTATGAGGGCAGTTGACATTTCATCCCTTCTTGCCAGCTGTCTTTGGTTCCCTGTGACTCAACCATGGGAAGGCACAGAAAGGCACGTGACAAACTCATGACTTTTAATCCTGGCAAGACAAGGGAAACCAAGCACAAAGATTTGAGTAGCTTTTACTGCTCTTCTGGAGGGAAACCTGTTGTATTTAATTTAAAAAAATTTCTTTGTTCTTCAAGAAAGACAGGGAAGAAAGGTAACTTTGAGTCAGTGCATAATGAAGAGTGCCCCTGGGGGTTGGGGCAAATGCTCAGAGTGGCTGGTAGGTGGATGGGCGTCTCCGGACGATGCAGAAGGCAACAAGCACCAAGGTGAGGAGGCCGAGAAGGATCAGACCAATGATGAGAGGCAACAAGATGGATTGGTCACTGGGGCAAGAGAAGCCTGGAAAAAGATAGGACAGTAGGCATTGCTGTGGTGGCTGAGTTAAAGGGGGGTGGTGGGGGAGGAGGATATGGAAGTAGGTTGGTGAACACTCAGAGCAGTAAGATGGGCAGGATCTTGTAGCGATGGGGAGGACGGTTGCCCAATAGCCATGACAGGTCCAGCAGAGGAAGATCCAAAAGGAAGATCTGGGGAGGGGAGATTCCAATGCAGTGGGAGAATAACAGGAGGAAAAGGTGGGTAAGTCTTACTTGGTCCAAAGACCCCTGTGTCGGGCAGCTGAGCAGCCTGTAGTCTCAGAGAGAGCAGGTCAAGGTGAACAGCTGGAGAAAGAACGATGCTTGCATTTCTGCAACTGAAGCTCTGGCCCAGGGGTGCTTGGAGATCTCGAAGGGATGAGTTCTGAGCCCAGAAGGTCCACTCTAAAGAAGTCATACAGGTCAAATCCAGTCCACCTCCCCACTCCCAGTTTAGCCCCTTCAGGAATCTAAACATCTATATGTAGTGATGAGAAAGGGAAGGAAGTTACTCACTTGCTGCCTGGGGGAAGGACACATTGTATTCCACTGCCATATAGTTGAGATAGACTACACTCTGGCTGTGCTGCAGGTCCTGGGAAAGTGAACAACAAAGCTCAGGGAAGCAGGGGGAGTGGCATCCATATGTACAGAGCAAGAAGTGAGCAATGAAACCCCCCCCCAAAAAAGTGAGCAATGGATGGGATATCGGAGGGTGAGTGAAGGATGAGGAAGAAATCACAGCTGTACCTGCTTGAATCCAAAGCTGAGCCATCCATAAGGGAATAAGAGAAGCAGGTGTGGATGGGCACCCTCACAGCCCCCGTGGACTTTGGTTTTGTTGGGGTTCAGTACAGAGATACCCCAGGCCTGTTTCAAAGTGAGAGAGCAGAGGTTCTGAGACTACATGGCTATGACATCCAAGGCTCCCCATCCCCTCCTCTCCCTCCTTCCTTCTGAACTATAGCAGGATTTGCCTCCAGCCCTGTGACCCAGTTTTAGCTTTACCTCTCCTCCTTCTTGTGTGGGATACAGGACTCGAATCTGAATCCGGGCTTGGAGCTGGACACAGGGCTGGGATCCATTAGTCCACGTGTAGTTTCCAACAGCCTCCTCAGAGCCTGGGCTAGGACTTGGAGTGGGTGGAGGTGGTCCGGGGTGGGGGGAACTGGTGCCATTGCTTGTAGTGGGATGAACTGTGGTATTTCCATGACTAGTGGTATTGGAAGGATTGTGAGTGGCAGTTGTGAGCCCTGGGCTGGTAGCAGTGCTGTTGCTCGTTGGATGAACCGTGGTATTTCCATGAGTTGTGGTGATAGGTCCATGGCTGGTGGTAGTGCTTGCTGTGCTTTCTGTAGCTGTAGGTGTCACCGTGAAGGATGGCAGTAGAGTGGCAGATTTTTTGTGAGGACAGTCATTCCCTGTTCCCTGGGCTTTCAGCAAGAGACTGGTTAGCAACTCAGGGATAGGCGTTTCCCTAGGGGTTCCCTCCCTTGTCCCTTCTCCTTACCTGCTAGTAGACCCAGGAAGGTCAAGAAAACCACAGCAAGCCTCATGGCAGAACTGCCTTCCCAAAGTCCACCTCAAAACCTATTCCTTCTGCATTCCCTTGGAAGAGGAAATGAAAGTCTTACTTCCTGTAACTAAGACAACCCCACCCTCTACTTGACTCAGGCACTTGGCTCCAGCCATAGGTCTTAGTCATTACTTTTCACAATCCTATTGGCCCTGACATTGTAAAAGGGAGGTACCAGGGCTAAGTCAGATACCATGTGATTACAGATGCGTTCTGGGGCAGTTGACACATGGGGACCAATCTGTGTACCTCAGAACTTAGGGGACCAGGTGTCAGTTGGCCCTTTCCTCAGTGGTCTCTTCAGAAATGGTTTCACCAAGACATTAGAACCAGGTGTTTTTCACAAGCCTTTTCTCTTGACCCCTTACCCTCCCATCTGTTACTTCCTCTTAGCTGAGGCACATGAGGAGCTCGTGACGGCGTGCCCGCAACCTTGTACAGAGGGTTGGGTTATACTGTTACCAGGCAACATGTCAGGTGAAATGAACTGAAGGGGAACCTCAGACCCAAGGAACGGGTGGGAGAGGGATGGGAAGAAATGAGAAGCCAAAACAGGCAGTTTCCAAATTATTTTATTCAGAATTTTGTTTTGTTTCCTGAATCAATAAATACTATACAAAACAATGTAAAAATGGCTACCATTTTCTCTCCCCTGCTCCCCCCCACCTGGGTTCTCCCTACAGATTTGGTCCAGAAAGTGAGATTGATGTGACATGTTATAGTCACTTGAACCTTCAGAGGGATTTGGCTGGTGTGGGAGAGCCTCTGGGATCTAGAGGTGACTAGGTTAGGGAAAACGGATTAGTGTTTTTTTGGGAGGAGACGGCGCCTGGGGCAAGAGCCTACCCCAAAGAAAAAAGGGTGTCTAAAATGTTCACGGTTCCTTCTTTTGCCTCAAAAAGTGACATTTATTCAAAGGAAGAAAAAAAAAAAAAAAAAAAAAAAAAACAAGATGTCCATCCCTTGGCTCCCTTCCCTCCCCCCTCCAGCTGCTCCTCGCCCCCCAGGATTCAATCCTGGCTGGGGCCAGGTAGCAGGACAGCCCCTCTCAGATGAGGTCAGCAACATTGAGAGGCATCTCTTCAATGGAGGTGTTGTAGAAGGTCTCGATGTCTCTAAGAGTCCTCTTGTCTTCTTCTGTTACCATGTTAATAGCCACACCTTTGCGCCCAAAACGACCACCACGACCAATTCTGGAAAACAAGGACAATGGAGTGGGAAGGGGAATGAACACCAGAGGCTCAGCATTGTCAGGGTTGGCCAAGTACCACAGTATCACACTCACCTGTGGATGTAGTTTTCTCTGTTGGTGGGAAGGTCATAGTTGATGACTAAGGAAACCTGCTGCACATCAATGCCTCTGGCCTATAAAAGATAAATTCATCACGTAAATGAGGATTCCATCTATCTGGAGGGACTTAGCGTGCATACGTGTAGGCAGCCAAAGGAAGGCAAAGGAAATGGGCATCCCCTATTCCCTGGAAGACCTCAGGCATGCCAGATTTTCTTCCAAGTTGCTACTTTCCTGAGAGGGGCACTAGTTGGCCCCTTGGAGAGGGAATCACCTTGGATTCTCCCTTCATTCCAGTCTTCTTTGTAACTCCCCCCTTCTTACCAGCAGGTCAGTGGTAATCAATACTCTGCTAGAGCCAGACCGGAACTCCCTCATGATCACATCTCGTTCCTTTTGGTCCATGTCTCCATGCTAGGAGAGAAAATACATTAAAAGTTTATGTAAGGTAGGCACAGACTTGAGTTCTGGAAAACTAGTATGACACATACACACAACTGTTAACAAAGGAGAAAACTAACCATGGCAGAGACTGTGAAGTCTCGGGCATGCATCTTCTCAGTGAGCCAATCGACCTTCCTTCGGGTGTTGATGAAGATGACTGCCTGGGTTATGGTGAGGGTTTCATACAAGTCACAGAGTGTGTCAAGCTTCCACTCCTGGGGGGGGGGGGGGGGAAAAAAAAAAGTCAGTCAGGGGCTATACCCAACAACTCACTACCAGGACGGCCTCCTGCACCTGGCCCCACCTCTCGTTCCACATTGATGTAGAATTGGCGGATACCCTCCAGGGTCAACTCTTCCTTCTTGACAAGAATTCGAATAGGGTCCCTCATGAACTTCTTGGTCACCTCCAGAACATCTGAAGGCATTGTGGCTGACAACAAAACTACCTAATGGATAAACAGATCAGCCTTAGGGTTGTGGATACTTTATGTTTGTCCTCCTTCCCCAACTACACCTATGATATTAGGTGCTGTACAATAAGGCTCATAAGTGGACACTCCAGGATTCTGTATGGTTCCTCTGGCACTTACCTATTCTTTACAGTAACCACAAACTGTTAGAATCATTTGTTACACTATCAACTTTCTTACCTGGGTGTTGCTGTTGAGCTTTTGGAATATATCATAGATCTGGTCCTTAAATCCACGGCTCAACATTTCATCAGCCTCGTCCAGTACAAACATTTTGATGTATTTGGGAGCTACAAGTCAGGAAAAATACCAATATACAGTAACAAATGTGAAATAGACCCCAGCTCTTGATAAAGAATATGGACAGGGCAGACAGATGCTCTCAGAATATAAGGACTGATCCTTTGCCCTAGACCTCCCTGCCATGTCAGACAACAACAGCCCTGGGGAGTAGAACACTACCTGGGCTAAGACAACAGGGAAGTCAGGCTCAGATGACACGCATGGGGTTCATCACAGAGCAATTCCAAGTCGGAAAAAGGGACATCTAGTGACCTTCGAAATGAGCCTTAGCTAAATCCAAAAGCATGCACAAAAGTGACCCAGGGAACTAGAAAACAGTACTCACACAGATATCTCCGGTTAAGCATATCAAATACGCGGCCAGGGGTACCCACGATGATATGGGGAGCTTCCATCTGCAACTTCTGTACTTCAGCACGCACATTGGTGCCTCCAATACAGGCATGACAGGAGGCACCCATGTAATCTCCTAATGCCATGACCACTTTTTGTATCTGAATCCAGAGAAAGATACATGTTACTTATTTTTGCCAACATCACTGAGAGATATGCACTACTCGATCACTTTTCAGATGAGAAACAAAGGCAGAGACTAACATAATTATTTCCTTTAAATTACACTACACAAGTAGCAGACAGATTACTAAGAACAGGATGGAAGTACGATGAAGCGTAGAGTAACTTTAAATTTCTTACTCTACATGGTAAGTTTTTTCAAAGACAACTGTGACACATTTAGTTCTCACAGCAGCAGCCAGGTTCATGAATGACAGAGCATACCTAACCATGGCCTACTGCACTCCTGCCACAGAATCCAAACTACATGTTCACTTGCATTCACTCTTAAAGCAAGTTCTGGATATTAAACACCTTAAAATGGCATTGCAGTAGAATCACTACACCTTCCATAAACACTTATAAAACAACTACAAAAAACTTCCCTCCTTAAGCCAGAATAATTTCAGTTCAATGGTTTGATTCTTTCCCCTCCAAGATCCAAGGGAACAGAGTCCAGCACTAAAATTTTGTGCCCTAGGCATGAAACAGCTTTGGCCACTGATCCAGGCATCAAGCCAGGATGAACAAAGGACTGTCATCTACTTTGCCCCTGACTGATATAAGAGCAACACCACCAATGAGGTGTCTCTTTGCCCATTGCCAGGGGGTTTGTTCATAAAACAGGTAAACTCACTCAGCCAGTTGGACTCCACCCAGCAGCCTTCCCATTTGACTCCGGAAATGGGCGGAAGTCATTGTTATATTTAGGTAGGAAATAGCTTATAATTAAGCCACCAAATCTTGACATAGTTAGGAACATCAATCCATTTACCTTCCTCCAGAGCTTCTCTTCCTCCCTAAAGTAGTCAAATACATCTGTTTTTAAGGTTTGCTTATTATCCTTAAACTAGCCCTTTAGGAAGGGAAAGAAGTCACACTCTTACCTGTTGAGCTAATTCTCGAGTGGGTGCCAGGACCAAGGCCTGTGTGGCCTTTAGATCTAATTCAATCTGCTGCAGAATTGATATGGCAAATGTGGCTGTTTTCCCAGTCCCAGATTGGGCTTGAGCAATCACATCATAACCTGAACAGACACAGCAGGAATTAAATGTAGTAGTGGGCATAAACCCAAGGCCCAGCTACAGAACAGTAAGCAATCCAGTTATGAACTAAGCCTTTAGGGCTTTGCAAACTCTCATCACAACATGAGAACAGTTTTTTAGGGGACAAGATGAGATTATTAACCCACTTAGGCTCACATCTAGTGAGGATAAAAATATGGCTTTAAGCCCAAGTACCACACACACACACAAAAGCCCACCAACACATGAGCTGCCATGACACTATTTTATCAACAAGGCATGTGCATGGACCAAAAGAATGATGGGATAAACATGGGACTGTTTTGCCCCTGGCTGGTATAAGGTAAGTACCACCGATTTGATGCCACTCTACACAGGTAAAGGACAATTCATAATTATTCTGAGATCTTACCCTTGATGCAAGGAAGAATGGCTCGCTGCTGGATGGCAGAGGGCTTCTCAAAACCATAGGCATAGATGCCACGGAGGAGGGACTCAGAAAGGTTCATGTCATCAAAGCTGTCAACAATCTCATTCCAGTTACTCTGGAAAAAACAAAAAAATGAAAGCTTAAAGGGTGGAACAGGGAGGGCTAAAACAGAGATCTGGTGTTTACAGCAAAGCTAAACCCCTCCATCTTCCAGGGAAGTCAGCTAGTTCCAGCTCTCTGAGCAAACACTCTAAAGAGTCTGTCCATTTCCCACAACTGTGATGCTGGGACTTCTGGAGGAGAGAACATGCTTTATGCAAGACTTTTCACAACATAATCTGAGAGTCAACACTCCTTTGGAGTGGGGACTTTACTGTTTTTGAGTTAGGCTTTAGTTGTGACGGTAAGTCCCTGAAAAACCATTCAAGAAACCAGGGTCAATGGTAGTAGCTTGCCCTTCTCAAAAGATTAAAGTCAGCAATGGCAAGTTCCAGTCTCACCTCGATGACGCCTTCTGGCTCCATCCCGTCAGGGCCATTGTCTCTGGATCTGTTGATTTAAAGCACGAGTTTTGTCCTGTACCTGACGGAAGCACTTCAGCAACTGGTCATGAATTATTCCATTAGCCTTCACTCCCAACTCAAGACACTCAGAAGCACTTGTCCCATCTTGGGCGCCGGTAAGGCCAGGGAATACCCAGTCACGATGGAACAACTCTCCTTAGAGACTCAAGGTCTGCAAGGGGGTGCCGCCGCACTGGTGCCCGGATGTAGTGCTTGCCGCCCGCCCACGTGTCCTGGCCCTTCAAGGCCCAAGGGCTTGCACCTCCCAGCGCAGCACCAACGGCAGGAAGTCCCGCCCTTCACCTCCCTGATCAGAGGGTAGGACATCCCCTTTCCTTTCCCACGTCATTCCGCCAGCGCCCTCCCCCACTCCCTCCAGCCGATCTCCCCCCCCCCCGATCGCGGTGCCCGGATGTGGGAGGCCGCGGGCGGTGGCGGCCTCGCGCACAATGAGCCCCAGCCGAGCTAGCAAAGGGGAGATTGCACAACACTTAGAAGCAAAGCAGACTTGGGGGAGGGGAACCCCCTCAAGCCGCCATGTGCTCGCTGCCTCGGCCACCCGACGGTATCTCCCCCCCTCCATGGAACAATCCGAATCCCGCCCGCCCAAGTCGCGAAATGGCGTCGCCCTCCCATACCTCAGGCCGCTCACCCCCGAAGTTAAGTGGACCTGCCCATCCGCAGTTTGCCAATTGCCCGGCTTGTGCGGCAAAATGGACCCGCCCGCCCGGCGCCGGGTGGGCTCCTGGTGCCTCACGCGGCCGCTCCTCAGGGTGAGGCTCAGTCCTGGCCGTCAAGAAAACCAGCACACTGAACGGCCGGCTTCTTCTTCCCTGACCCACATTTCGACCGCGACGAAGGGACTGGCTGAGGACCCAGGCTCCCCCATCTCTCGCGAGTGGTACCGTCAGAACCCTCCGGTACCCCTGCGCGCGGGCTCTCTCCCGGCAGTGGGACAACCGGACCAGCCGGCTCCGGGCCACGCAGCAGCCTCTGCCTTTTTCCCACGATAGGTCGCGACCTCGTCTTGCCACGAAGCACCGATGCTTAGCGCACGGCACCGCCTCGGGTCGAGGGCTCGTGACGAACCTCACTCGCTCAGCCGTAGCCAGGCTGTTCCTTCCTTCTGCCTCGGCCTGGGTGGCAGCATCGGCCGTGGGAGTACCCCCACCCCCAGACGGTATCTCCCGATTTGGTTTCCCCGCCACCCTGGTGGGTCTGGGGCGATGGGCCTTACAGCTCTCCCTAGCAAGGGCCTCGGAAGGGAGCGGTAAGTAGCTACAACCTCTTGCAAATGCCTCTTACCGGGAATCCTGACTCGCAGACATGATCCTTAGAAACTAGGGCGGAGTGCCCGCCTATCGACAACTTATAGGGCGCCCGACCCCGCCCCAGCCATCGCATTGGCTTGACCGCCTCGGCCCCGCCCGCTAGCGCTCTGCAACTCGGTGTGACGTTAGGTCGTAGGCGCTATAACTCGCAGCCGCCATTGGGCAGCTTGAGCGCCTATCAAGGTGAAGACCCGCCCCGCAGCCTCATTGGCTAGAGGGCCCGCCTTTCTCACCGGTACGGAAGTGACATACAGGAGTCTGGCCTCGAGGCTTGGCAGCCATCTTGGAGCCCTGCACCCTTACACGTGCGGAGGCGAGCGTGCCTTCATCATGTGGCTCAGGAGATCCTATCACGCGAGGGGGGCGAGGCCTCAGCCTCCAGGGACTTCCGCGCTCCTGGGACAGTCACTTCCCTTTACCTCTCTGCTCCAGGTTTCCACAGGTCCCTAAGTTTTACTTATGTTCTCCCCTGCAGCAGATATATCTGACACCGTATGGGCTGTTCTTACTGGGGTTGATATAACCATAAGCGATATCCCAGGGGCTAGGAAGATTCCCCTGGCTGGAGGAAAAGAAGGGATGCAACCTCTTTTGGCTTAACGGCTGTGGGACAGCTGTTATGAATCCTAGTTAGCCCCCTCCTTAGTCCCTTCAGCGTCCTGATCCTCCACTTCCCTCTCAGGCTCCCTTAATTCTTAAGGCTGATTTACTTTCCCTTCTTGTTGCCCTCCACTCTGGAGGATTTATTTGGGTGATAAACAGAAGGTTTTGGCACTGCTGAGCCAGGTATGGAGAATTGCCTCCTGAGGTCTCAAGACCCCAAAAGGGGTAGCAGTAGCCGGAAGAAGGCCTAAGACAGCACATCCACAACTTTGAGATCCCTTAAGGAAGACCACCACTTATGTATCTCCAAAGGATCCTTTTATTGACCAGAGCAGGACCGTGGCATTTATATATATATATAAAAAAAAAGTTCAAAGTTCAAAGATCTGGCAGGCAGTAATCCCTTTGCCCACTCATCACCCCCACACTGATTTCCTGCCCCCTGCACATCCAAGGGGGAATGACAGCTCCACCCAGGCCACAAGGCAACATTTCCCTATAGAGGGAGAATAGGGCTTTTCCATGGCCACACCCTGCTCATCAGAAATCAGTGTTCTCTCAAAAAAAAAAAAACCAAAAAAACAGAAATCAATTTAAACATTTAAATATGAAAAAAAAAAAAAAAAACCAAAGGGAATTGGATGGGGAGACGAACTGGAGTTTCTTGGGAAGGGTCTCCCATGTCCCTTGCCCATTAATGGGCTCAGGGCCTGGGGTACGAGGCTCACACAGTGAGTTTGCAGTGACACAGCTCCTTGTAGATTTGCCGGCGAAGTTTGGGCATGTCCTGCTGGGTGAAGCTGAATGGCTGAGACAGGGCCAGGTGCTTGCAGTACTGGGTGTTAACAAAGCAGGCCATGAGAACCATCTACTGAGCATCCCTCCCAAGTCAGGACCTGTGACTACATATTACATATGAGATATATCTTAATCTTTAGAGAATATCCCCATGTCACATACAAAGGGCACCAAGATCCAATAACCTGGTATTTAAAAATGGCCTGGTTCTAAATCTATTGTTCTTAGTCAGTACATAATATACCTAGTGTTTAAAGTGGGAGAAAATACATTTGAGTCAGGGATTTAAGAGGCAGCTATAATCAGGGTCAGATCCAAAGGCCAGAGACCCAGTCCCACTGTGGGAAGGAGGTCCAGAGAGGACCAATAAAATCAAGGTTTCTGTATCCTAACATATAAGGATACTCCCTGCTTCACAACTGACTCTGTTCCAAATGAGGCAATAGTCTCCCAACCCTTTAACCTAATTGACTCCAGAGCTAAGAAGGAGATCCCGTCATTTACTTACCTGCAACACAAAGGCGCCACAGTCACTGTCATTATTCTGCCTGGCCACATTCTAGGGGATAGAAAATGAACCCATTCACCTGGAGACTCCCAGGGTTAATATCTTCCACCTCCTGTCACTACTCCCCCACCATCACCTCATTTTACTGCCCCTGGAAACTCACCATTTTGAAGTAACCTTTCCAGCCCTGATGGAAATCCAGTCGGTCTTTCTTCACTGCCTCTGCCTGTAGATACTTGGCAATATGCTATTTGGATGGGGAAAAAGAGAAAGTGATATATTCCCTTTCCTAACTGCACCCAGGTTATGGTGATGGCAAATACAATGTTCAGGTCATCTAGAAACTCAAAGTCCACCATTCTTCCTGAAATGCCTTGCCACTGGGACCTCCCTACATCCTGCCCTTCTTCCCCCAATCCTGTCAAACCTTAGGGCAGCGGCGGTTTAGGGTGCGCTGTGAATCAAAATAGGTGATGGTGCGTCGCCTCACATCAACAGAGATGAGGGACCAATGCACCTCCAGATGGATGGGGATTAGCAGTAGCTCCTTATTAAAGATGTCCACCTGAAGAAAGAGTGCTGGAGGTCAGGTATTGCACACAAGGGCCCTGCTAATTGTCATGTGGATTCTAAAGAGGAAATGAACAACAGGCAAGGCAGCTAAGTGGGAGAAACACAAAACCTAGACCCTAGATTCTGCAGTAAGGTTAGCATCTAGATATTTAGATTCCTAAGGGTAAAAGAGGAAGGCAGGAGTAAGGAGGCAGTGTCAAAACACACAAGTGCCAGTTACTTGTCACACATTAAAGAAGTGCTTAGTAGGTTAAGAACCCAGGCTTAGGATTCTGAAGCCAGACTCAGGGTTGAATTCCAGCTCCTCCATTTACTGGTTCATGACCATGAGCAAGCTACTTAATAACCTTATATACCTCATTTGCCTTATCTGTAGAGGGAGAAAGCAAAAGTACCCACTCTCATCCATTTGTTATGAGGATTAAAGTAAATATCCACATGACACTTAGAACAATAATGACATAAAGTAAATGCTCAGTTTGCTCACAAAAATGCTACCACAGTCCTCATGTTCAACCTAACAGATGAGAAGACTGCAACATGGTAAAGTAAAGTAACTTGCTCAAGGTCACAGAAGCAACAAATAGCACAGGAAAGATTTTAACTTAGGTCTACAGAAAGCCAAGTTCTTTTCACTGTATGTCACTCCTGCCCACTAGGTCCTGGAGTAAACGTGAGGACATAAATTAAATGCTAAGACTGGGGGGGGGGGGCTAGTTCAAAGGTAGAATGGTGTATGCCAGTAGTCCCAGCTACTTGAGCCCAGGAGTTCCAGTCCAGAGAGAAGAGAGGAAAGAGAAAAAGAAGGCAAGGGGATAGGAATTTCACTGTTCTCCAATCACATATGCCACCTACATGGGCCCTCTATCCCTCAACCATGTTCTTTTTCTCTGGGTCTCATGTACTTGCTGTTCCCCTTGCCTAGAGCCCCTAGATCTGCATATGGCTGGCTCCTGATCATTCAAGTCTCAGATATGGAAGGCCTTCCTAGACTACCCAATCTAAATACCTCCCATGTTATTACATTACCCTGTGAACAGAATACTTACTACCAGCTGAAATTTTCCAATCCATAAAGGCAAGAAGTTTTGCTTATTTAGTACTGTATCCTTAATACCTAGAATAGTGCCTAGCACACATAAGATGTTTAATAGAAGACTGAATGAATAAGGTTGAAGAAAGGGTTCACAGAAAGCAAAACTCATAACTATATAGAGACAAGATGTTATACAAATGGTTGTGAATTGATAACTCACATTTTTGGTCCACCTTTTCACCCCATCATAACCCTTGGTACGGAGTTTATCATAGAAGAAACTGTTGAAGAAATGCACCTGTGCCAATGACACAAAAGAGCTGGATAGAATTAAGAGACCTTAGAGCCTCCCACTAGGATTTTCCCTCTCCCCTATCAACCTACTCTATTTCATATAACCTAAGGAGAATGGTTTCAACAACTTCTACTCCAAATCACTAACAATAGACACATTGTTTTTAATCTTCTCTTACAGATAGGTTCTGAACCCAATTATTAGGGTTTAACAATAGGGAAAAACACTTTTAGAAAGAAAAAGAATTGATAAATTCAGGACCAGGCTTACAGATTTGAAATTAATAGGCTACCATTTACTACTCCCCCTCCCCTGGCCCCTGAGAAAGACACCCTACTTATAAAATGGAAGGGATGAAAGGGGCTGAAAACACTGCTTAAAACTGCAGAAGTTCTTTTGGAACTGAAGAATCTGGTATAACCTTACCTTTTCAGGGACTGTGTCCATGACAAGGTCTCCATACATGTTCATCACCTGGAAAGAAGACAGGAGGCAACTTGCCATGAAGGGTGTGGCATAGGTACAGGGCTCCCCCATTCAGAGGGCCCCAGACACCCTGATCCCTGAATCCCCTCTCAGTCTTGTTTATTTACTTCTTCTTACCTGATCATTGAGCCAGTTCTGTCCATACAAAGTCCCTAAGTCGTCCATCGTCAGCACATGCCGCTTATAGGACACTCGGAAGCCCCTCACCATAGCGTTGCCTGGCATCCGCTGGTACGACTGGATCAACTGCAGCACCAGGCCCTTCCTAAATAGGCCAAAAATGGAATCATGCAAGAGATGATGGGCTGGACACAGACATACCCACTACATAGTCCCAATAGTTAGAAGAATGAGGCAGGAGAACTGAGTCCAAAGTCAGCCTGGGCTACATAGCAAGACCCTGTCTCAAAAACAAAGTAAAATACAAAAACCTAAAACAGAAATACCCACTACTGTGTAGAATAAGAATCTAAAATGGGTTGGGAGTTGATGACTCACACTTATAATCCTAGCTACTTGGGAGGCTGAGATTGGGAGGATCACAGTTTGAGGCCAGCCTGTGCAAATAATTTGTGAGACCCCCATCTCCAAAATAACTAGACCACCCAGGCACTGGTAGATCACACCTGTAATCCTAGCTATTCGGGAGGCAGGGATCAGTAGGATTGTGGTTTGAAGCCTGAACAAATAATTTGCGAGACCCTCTCTCAAAAATACCCATCACAAAAAAGGTCTGGCGGAGTGGCTCAAGGTGAAGACCCTGAGTTCAAGCCCTGGTACTGCAAAAATAAATAAAAAATAACCAGACCAAAAAATAGACTGGAGGTGTGGTTCAAGTGGTAGAGCACCTTCACTGCAAGCATGAAGCCCTGAGTTCAAACTCTAGTCCCACCAAAAAAAAAAATCTACAATGACTTCTTCTTTATCACAAATCCTTTTGAGGTCCTGTTAAAAGCCCATTCCCCAGAAAAAGGTACGTGAACACTCAGGTATACCTATTTCAGGGTCCTAAATAAAGACCCCTTCCCAATTGCCTTATAGGGATCTGGCACCTTCTGTGTGGTTTCCTTCCCTTCACTTCAGTTGTAACTTTCACCTCCCCAAGTACATCCCTCACCCCATCCCTTATGTCCCAGCCCTCCTTTGAAGGGCACCTGTCTTTCAAGCCTTACCTGGAAGGTGTAGAGAACTCCTGCTGGAAAATGTCCTCCAACTTCTCCACTACCTCATCAGTGCTGAGGGGGATGAGGCTACCATAAGTTTGAAGGAATTCATCCAAGATGCCTATATGGAGGTAGAAGAAAAAAATGGGGTGAGGCTTCCAGACTCTGATCCAGTAGTTGGCCAAGGAAAAGAGACTAGTTCCTCTAGGGCTTACTCTGAACACAGGTGACGTGCTCCTCCCGAAGTGGGCTGTGCTGGCCAGCTTTCTCCCCAGGCCGCTCTGCCTCCTCTGCAGTGCCCAAATCAGAGCCCTGAAAAAGCTCCTGAGACACATGGTCTCCAATGCTGCACACATTGCTGATGAGTATGCTGGCATCAGGGGGTGCCAGGCTGCGCTCTCCTTCTGGCCCAGGTGGTCCCCCAAAACCATTGGGCAGAGTACAGGAGAGGAGGCCTGTAAGGCATGGGAAGTAGAATGGAGATGAGAAATTGGCCCAGGTGAAAGAAAAAGGGGAGAATTAACTGATGCACACAAATGTTAAGACCACAAGAAGGATGCACTGAAGCAGAATCTACCAATATAAACTTTCAGGAATGCAGATCCCACAACATAAGGATGCCCAAGAGGTTCTAAAGGGAAAGGGAAATGGGCACAGTGGGCCATGCCTATAATTCCAGCCACTCAGGAGGCACAGATCAGGAGGATCACCATTTGAGGCCAGCCTAGGTATCAACACCTCATCTCAACCAATAAACTGGGTGTGGTGGCTCATGCCTGTCATCCCAGCTGTGTGGGACATATAGATAGGAAGATCGAAGTTCTGTGCAAAAACACCTGACCCTATCAGAAAAATAACTAAAGCAAAAAGGGCTGGGGGTGCGGCTCAAGCAGAGGCCCTAAGTTCAAACCCTACTACCACCAAAAAAAGATTCATAGCACTGTTGTACAGCAAAACCATAATTACAGATGTGACATTGTGCTACAGTTCCTGATTTATGTTACTAAAAATAAATAAAGGGAAAGAGTGGGAGTTCCTATTCAGACAGGAGAGAAGCAAGAAAAGACTAGGATTCAAAGAGATGTAAATTTCAGGGATATACATGTTACCACTCTATGGTTACCATTTAACATAGCACCTAGCATATAATAAAAGCTTGATAAATACTTGCATATTTAATAAGGATGTTAAATTGTTTGGCTGAGTTCTTAAAAGGGGAAATATTCTTAGTAAGACTGTCACAGACAAATGCACAAATAACTTATTCCACTACTGGAAGAAGACCCATTCCACCACCATGAGAATGGTGTCCTCGGAGATGGATATGCAGAGGCTCTTATACTGAGAGCAGGAGGAAGGATTTGGAATGTACAAGACTGATTTTTCTAAACCATGGCTCCGTTTTTCATTTGTCCTGAAGACCACAGAACATCTACATAGAGGTTCTGTTTTCCAGCCCTGGCTGTGTCCCAGGCATATTTCCTGCTCAAAGTGAGACTTGCTGAAGACATTTCACAGTTATTTGGATCCCTCACTCTGTTCTCTTCAGTTCTCATGAAAGTAAGAAACACCTAGTGCTCCAGGCTCTTAGCCCCTCTCCCTCCCAACACACCCCTTTTACCATCTTACCAGAGTCAGGGTGCAAAGGAGACTTTGGAGTCCACCTCAATCCATCTTCCTCCATGGGGGGGCCAGAGGGCATTGATAGAGACCCTCTTACCCCATCCTCAGCCATGAGAGCACCTAGCAGACCCAGCCGGGGTGGGGGTGGCCCCCGGGGGGAGTCAAAACGACAGCAGGGGGATGGCACCTGTGGCGTTGCACCCCCTTCCTGGGGTGAGAGATGGTTCTTGGGGTGTGCGAGGCTCCGCCGCCGGCCCCGGTGGCGCCCCCAAAGCTTCCAGTGGAATGTCAGCGAGGTGCTTTTTGAGTAGAGCAGCATCTGGAAGGCTCTCATGGCTCTGCGGCGACGCTGTGAGCAGGTTTTTCGATGAGTGGGGCGGGGAGGGCGAGGCCGCTGGGAGGCTCCCAGTTGACCCCATCTAGGGGGAAGCCTCCAAGCTGCCACTTCCTCCTCTTCATCTTCATCTTCCTCCTCCTCCTCCTCTTCCTCCTCTTCACTAGCTGAAGCATCGAAAGAGGGCCGAGGGATAGGAAGGCGTCTGGCTGGCACTGTGGTCCCTGACCCAGGATCTGGCCCAAACCCTCCACCTGACTTGAGCCGGGGTTTAGGGGGTGGGGGCCAACGGAGACGCTCCCGCCTGGGGCTTGAGTAAGCTGTGCCGGGTCCAGGAGGCTCAGGCCCCCATGACCCTGACCCTTGTATAGTCTCTTTCATCTTCCAGTACCCTGTAAAACAAAGTTAGAGAATCAGAATCCAAACATCTTTTCCTCCTAGGCCCTAACCATCATCTCTCCCTTGTCCAGATAGACAAGGGGAAATGACTAAGTGGCAGGCTTCGGGTGCTTATTTCTCGGCTCTCTGGGTGAAACCTGTATTTTCGGGCTCTGCCTCTCTATTTTACTCCCACGAGGGGTGTCCTTTGAGAGCCTAACAAGGGTGATTGTGCTCAGAGAGATGGCTCAGAACAGGAATCCCGTCCTGAGATGAGGCGAGCACAACTTTACCAGGGAAACTTTCAGAGTGGTGAGACGGTTCCCTAATACCCTGGAACACCCGGGATGGGGCATGGGCATGCTGAGGTCGTCTCAGGTGGGAATGGGGGTACCAGGGCTACGGCTCAGGTAAGAAAGTGATGAAGGAAACTGAAGGAGAACCAAATAGGAGTACAGGAGACCGAATCAAGACGCTGGGACAGAATTGAGTCGCGCGAGGCAAATAAGCCCAGCTCCCTCTCCTGCCGCGTCCCCGGGGACCCAAAAGCGTCCCAGCACCGGAATGGTCCTACATGTTCAGATGGCTGGGCGCACACGGCTCTTAAGCCCCTTCGAGGGCCTCTTGGCCCTGGTTAGGTGGGAGTGAGGCCCAGGAATGGAACAGGCCACGCAGGACGTGGGGGGAGGTAGGAGGGGAAGAGGCGTCCTCACCGGGAGCGGGGAAGCCGGGCAGACGGGCCCGAAGGCGGGCGTCTCCGCCTCAGGCTTCCCGGCTCATCTCTCCAACGACGGCGGCGGCCCCGCCACTCCTGCTGTCTTCAGGCGGAGCCGTCTCAATTCAGGATTCCAACGCTTCTGGGCCGCGCGCCGCGCCGCCGCGGCCACCTCCTGTCCGGCTTCAGCCTCCACCGCCGCCGCCGCCGCCGCCGCCGCCGCCGCCGCCACCACCTCTCCCCCCTTCTTCCCCTCCCGCGAGCCCCAGGCCCACCGGCGGTGGCGGCGCACGATTAGTACGTCACACCCGGCGAGCTGCGGCGGCGCGGCCACCACGCGCCCAGTCCCGCCTACCCGAGACCATAGAAGCCGCGGGACCGTCCCGCCCACCAGCTCTTAGCCTGACTGCGCCTGCGCACACCGCCGACCTGGCCGCGCGTGGCGGCCACACCGCTCTTCCTTTTGCGCCTGCGTGTCGCATCCCGCCTCACGCGCCTGCGGCATAGTCCGACCGCGTTCTGCACCCGTGGTCCGGAGCTCCGGGGCGTCGATAATCTGGCCCAGTGGGCCGCTCCAGAGCTCAGCCAGGAAGGCAGAGATGCCCTGGTACAGGGAAGGGCCTGAGGCGAGGCACAGGGCGAAATGAAAGTTTTATTTAACTTTAAGCAAGGCTTGATCAGAAAGAAGAGCTCAAAGGAGTAAGACCAGAGCCAGGGCGTACGACGCATTCAAAGTTCCCTGAACTCTAGGCCCAACCTGGAGGAGATAGAAGTGGCTTGGCACACCAGGAGAAGGCAACGCATGAAAGGCAAAATTTGGGACCCGAAGAGTAATGCGGTTGCAAAGGGTCGGTCTTCGTTGTATGGCAGCCCCTGCAGACGGATGCATAATGGATAACATCTCTTGAGATAGTGACGGAAACTGGGTCCCAACAGATCGTGAAAAGTGAAGATGAGGTTTCTTGTGGAATGAAGAGAGGCCGAGGTTGCCTAGAGAGAGGTGTGGCCTAGGGAATCAAGGGTTAAAACTACCGAGGAAGCTGGGTCATTCCCTCAATCTGCCGCTAGATGGTGGTGCTGTTCTGGATGCATTCCAGTGGATCCGTCACAAATCTGGACAATGCCTGATACCAACCCCCCTACACATACACACACACACACGCGCACACACACACACACACACACACGAATTTTGGGTTGGATGGGAGTTAAAAACTATAATTTTCTACCTTTTTAACATCCGTATAATCAAAGTCTAGGGGGGTGGGAGGGGAGAAGGAAAAGGGAGTAACAGTCATGTAGTCAACCCAGTGGAGGCTATCCATTCCCTGTCTTTTGTCTAGCCAGCTCTCGGCTGTCTCCAGTATGTACTCACGTAGCAGATACTTAAAAGCTGCTTAGAGCCAGGCCGATGGCTCACTCCTATAAATCCTAACTACTCAGGAGGCAGAGATAAAGAGGATTGTGGTTTGAAGCCAGCCTGTGCAAATAGTTCTAGAGACCCTGTCTCAAAAAACCCTTCCCAAAAATAGCGCTGGTGGAGTGGCTCAAGGTGAAGACCCTGAGTTCAAGCCCCTGTACTGCCAAAAAAAAAAAAAAACAAAAAAACTGCTTTTGCTGAAAAACACTGACTCCTTACTGCCTGCCTTCCATCTGAAAATTCCCCTAACATTGCCCACCCTCAGCAGGTGGCAGTCAGATGAACATGACATCCCTTTTCCATAGAAATGGGAAGCAAAAATTAACTGAAAAATGTAATAGGGACAGAAACCTAAGTATGCTTATAGTCACAATAAACCACTTCACTAGCCAGCCTGAACTGACCAATTGGGCAAGTCAATTTTTTTCTTCCTTTTTGTTATTCCCCCCTCCATTCCCTTACATTGGGGAATTCAAGATAAACATGTTACAGTCCCCTACTGAGCTATGTATCACCTGCCGAACCATCGTGCTCCTGGCCTCAGAAGTTGGCATCAGTGGAGATGGACAGACATTGACACCAATGAGAGATAAGCAATCCCCAGGTTTCAACAGTTTTGGTCCTCAAAAACCCATCCTTCTCTGCTGGACACTGGTGGCTCATGCCTGTAATTCTAGCTACTAAGAGGCAGAGATCAGGAGAATCAAGGTTTGAAGACAGCTGAGGCAAATAGTTATCAAGACTATCTTGAAACACCCAACACAAAAAAGGGCTAGTGGAAGAGCTCAAGTGGTAGAGTGCCTGCCTAATAAGTGTGAAGCCCTGAGTTCAAACCCCAGTACCACCAAAAAACAAAACAAAAAAACCCTCCTTGGGACAGATTCTGTAGTCTTTGGGACATTAAGTCCACTGCATATCTTAATCCATAAACCTTTATTTCCTTTTCTCCAAAACCCTGCTCTCATTATTCTAATCAGCACTGGGCTCAGGGAACTGAAGTTTCAGACACCACATTACTCTTCCCAGCTGAGAACTACCTTTTATTAACACAATCACAGTTTCACAAACCCCAGGAAGGTTCCATGTGGAGAGAGGCTAAGTTTTGCCTTTGCCCGGGGAATTATGACACTGAGGATATCTCCTTGGTGTAAATGGAAGACACCTGAGAAAGAGGAGAAAAATAGATGCTCGGTGAATCACAGCTATCCACAAACTCTGATGTTTCTCCCTACCTGCTATGGCTCCACCTTTTCTCTTTCTCTCATGAGGACCTAAGTATTCTATCCTTCATTCCTCATATCTGCTTCCACCCAGGCTTCCAACCCCCTACTGTAGCTCCCCACACCACTAGCCCAAGTCAGCCACGACCTGCTCTGCTCACATCTACCCTCCACTGCTCTTACCTGCACTGTAGCAGCTATTGTAAGCACGGTCAGGGTCAGAGGGCATACTACGTATACATCGGAACAGAGTCTCCTGCCTTCCCTGGCCTTCCCGAGATACCACCTGACCCATGGTGAAAGTCACATCATGAAACAGGACCTGACAGGAAAAGGAAGAGATGTTGAAGAAAACCAAGATAGCACCACCCAGTTGTAGGAGGCCTCAGGAGCCCTGACACAGGATCTAGGGAATGAAGAAGGGTCTTCATTTGGTACAAACAGCGCAATCAGGGACCCTCGGTATGACACATACAGGTCCTCTGAGAAGAGCATAGAGCCAACCTCCAGGCCCCTAGGTTAGGTTCAGTGTATGTCTAGGGTTACCTGGCTATACAGCAGATAAACTCCAGCATCCCAGACTCGAACAATGTATCCTTGGGCCTCCAGGCCTCTCCCACGCCTAAGAACAGGTTGCCACATCACTTCTGTCACATCAGAGTCCTCTGGAGGTGAGGAGTGTGGCAGGTCAGAATTTTTGCACTCTCAGACACTTAGCAGCTCTCCCCTTTTTACTTCTAAGACTTTCTTGGGCCCAGCTGCCAGCCCCAAAATTCTTGGCTTGTGCCCCTCCCCCAAAGCCATTATTTAAAATATTGCTCACCCTTGGAGGTGATGTTAATGGGAACAAGGTGCAGAACTGAGTGCTTCTCTGAGGAGAGAAGGAGGAAATCTCAGTTGTTTTGACTCTCCACCTCACCAGGGCTCAAACTAGCAACCCCCATTCTTTCATCACCTCCTACCCCTGCTGTGCCCGGGGTTCACTCACTCTTCCGCTTCTGGGTGAGCACTGCTCTCCTTTTCCGAGATCGTGCGCCATTCTCCCAGGCTTCCAGGACATCTGGGCTCTACTCATGGAAAGAGGGTCAGAGTTAAACTAAGATGCAGGGGACCCAGGCAGGGAGCTTTCCTTCCCAGTTTTCCCAAACACCAAGAATGCCTCAGATCTCTTATGCACCTTTCCCCAGCCCCCTGCGTCTTGGTGCTGGCTGCCCTCCAGGATCTGTTAGGTACAAGAAGCATTAATCTTTAACTGTTTCTTTTCCTGGAGTGGCTGCTCCCTTGACATTCAAACCGAGACCCCCCTCTTGCACCCACTTGAAACTTTGAAAACTGGGAGGCCAGAACTGAGAGGCCCAAAGACCCCTGTGGCATTCATCCTCCCCGCTCAGATCCTCATCTCCCCTCACTCACCTGCTCCTGGAGGCTCCGCCAGGGATATTCTTCCCCCTTGTGGGCCGGCCCTCCGCTCCTCTGTAGCCGGCTCACCTCCCTCCTTAGGCCTTGCAGCTCTGTTTGTTGGGTCAGCAGAGCGATGGCACAAGCCACAGCCCCCAGAGCCGCCCCCCAACTCAACCAGAGAGCAACTGAGAGTGCCGGCTCTCGGACTGGGCCCCCCATGTCGCCCGGGGGACCCTTGGGGGCTAGTAAGAAAGGAGATGAGGCTGGCATGAGCCGGGACCCTGCCAACAGCTGTGGCTTCAGGAATGGGGGGGTAAGGAGGTGGCAGGGAGGGTGGGGGTACAGACAGTGGTGCAGAAGGGAAGAGAGTATTACGCAAGGGAGAAATAAAAAGGAACTTGAGAATAAAAAAGAAGGAGGAAGAAAGCAAGCTGGGGTACTGTTGGTGTTCCTGGTGCCCCACTGTGAGGCTAGTGTCACCTGAGGACCTCCCCCCTTCAATCTCAGGAGAATTTGGTGCCAATCTCTGTTGGAAGGACTGGGCTGCCAGTGACACCCAGGAAGAGCGGCCAGAGCTCAGGAACCCGGGGGCGGCCCCAGAGTTGGGGGAGGGAAGGCTGGCTGGCTATGGGGCATGGTGCCAGAAGCAGGGATGGGGGACAAGCTGGGCAGTGTTGAGGGGCTACGGTGGGAGACCTGGGGCTCCGACATGGGAGAGATCTCTGGGCAAGATTGCTAGAGATGATTGAAGGTGAGAAAAGATGGGTAGGGGTCAGCAGGGAGGAGAAGCAGGGACAAGAAACTGGACGGGTGCTGGGGTTAAGGCCGGACTGGGTGTGTTGGACTGAGGCCTGCACTACTCCCTGCGCTCAACTTGGCAAGCAGGACTTCCTGTTTCCCAAGAAAAGCTCTTACATAAGGCTCTGGACAAAGAGACAAAGAAGCAACCCCAAGCCCCCCAGGCATTGCAGGACTCCTCCCCAGGACCCAAGGACCCAGGTGCCCAGGTACCCGGTCCCTGGCATCCTATGTACTGGCTCTGAGCCCCCCTCCAGGCCAGTTCCCACCCCATCTCCCAGCCAGGGCATGTGCCAGCACCTGCTGAACGTCTGAGGCCGCCAGAAGGAAGGGCCCCTGCTCCTCCCAGCCAGGGATTCCCCCGTAGGAGGAAGTCCGCCTCCTAGGGAAATGAGGCCACTTCTGCAGCACCTTGAACAGGCGACAGGTTTCTTTCCTGGGCAGTGGACCTTTCAGTTCTCTACTTACAAGTGCTGCTTGGAGGCACGCAGGTCCCTTCTCCCCAAGGCCCAGCCCCCCCCTTCTCATGGCCCTCAGTTACCCTGCGCCCCAATAAAGAGAAAGATCATGACTTATCTTCTTTAATATCCACTTATCAACATTTTGTCATAATAATAATAAAAATAATATCTGTTTTCAAAATCCACAGGGAATTATTAAGGGAGGAGCTTGTCTTGGGCTCATTTGGGAACGCCTGGCCTAGCCCCAGGCTCCTTGGGATCCTGCCACCAGGTCCAGTCCCTCTTAGTGCCTGAAGCACTAAGTTGAGTCTTCCAGACCTATCCTTGCCCACAGGGTCAGTGAACGCAGTGTCCTGGGGGATTGGGGTCAGATGGAGTCAAGGGTTAAATGGGGGCCTGGGAAGATCAGGGCTTTGGGAGCTAGTGAGTGGGTGGGGGGTGGTTGTAAGAGAAGAATGAGAATATTTACGTAGGATGGAAAACACTTGAACTAGCCCTGGCAGCCTTAAGAGGGAGGGGTGGGTGTGCAGTGAGAAGTGGCTTAGGGTCAGGCAGAGGAGACTGGTGTCAGAGAGCTGAAAGAGGAACCTGGGAAGTCTGCTGGAAGACTAGGCTCCTCAGTGAACTTGAAAGAGTCCAAAGTAGGTGAGGAAAGGGGCAGCCTTGAGATGGGCCCAGGGGAGGGTGCGGATCCTCAGGGAGGACCCTGGCCTCAGGGCAACAGCCCAGACACCTGGCAGAGTCGAAGCTGGGGCCCTGGGGAACTTGCTGCTGTGGCTGAGAATTCCTCCAGGCAGCGCAAGGCCAGCACGTCATCCACTAGCAAGTCCAGCTTCAGGTAGACAGCCTTCCCCTCATCAAAGTGCACCTAGCGTGGGAGGAGCAGGCAGAGTCCAGGCCTCTGCCCGCACCTCAATTTCAAATTTCCTTAGAGACCCAGGCATCTCATCCTCCCAAAACCCAAATTCTCTCCCTCCCCAGCCTTTAGCTTACTTCCTTCCTTCTACCCAAACCAAACCCTTCTCCCCTCAGTTACTGCTTTGTCTGTGGAGTCAGGTGGGGTTTACCTGACAATACAGGTAGTAGAGCCCAGCCTTGGTGACTATAAATTCCCCAATCTGGCGGTCATAGCGCAGAGGGCTGGAGCTGTTGATTTTGGCTTCTTCCCAGCCACTCACTGTTCCATCCACACCTGAATGTGAACACTCAAGATAAGGAAACAAGTCCCTTACAGGACTCCCCAGGGATCCATGGAGTTTACAAACACGTGCAGTTCACCTTACCCAGAGGAGATTTCAATGGCCCAGGGTATGAGAGGAGCCATGCCCTATGGAGCCCACAGTGTAATAGGAGCTTAGGTGAAGAAATCTAATGTATATGACCAGAAAGATTCAGGACCAACTGTCACCAGTGGTTACTTCTGGAGAGAAGAGAGTAGGATTGAAGAAGAAATGTGGGAGCTTTTAAGTTTTACTTCATCTGTGTTTATAATGTTTGCCTCTTTTATGCTGACATTACTTGAATCATTAAAATTAAAAAGACACCCAAATGTCCATCGGTTGATGAGTGGATAAACAAAGTATGGTATATCTGCACAATGGAATATTATTCAGTCATAAATAAAATACTGATGACTGATGTGTGCTACCATATGGATAAACAGAAAAACTATGCTAAGTGAAGAATGCAGCCACAAAAACACTACATGTTATATGATCCCATTTATAGAAAATGTCCAGAATAGGCAAATCTATAGAGATAGCAAGTAGATTAGTGATTGCTTAGGGCTGGGGAATGATGGAAATAGGAGGTGATGGCTAAAGGAAACAGTGCTTGTTCTATTTTTTTTTTTTTTGAGATAAGAGTCTCACTATGTAGCCCAGGCTGGCCTTGAACTTGTGATCCTCCTGCCTCTAGTACTACATTACAGGTATGCACCACTATGCCAGAGCTGCTTCTATTTTTTTTTTGGTGGTACTGGGATTTGAACTCAGGGCTTTACTCTTGCTAGACAGGTGTTCTACCACTTGAGCCATGCCCCAGCCCATTTTGTGCCAGTTATTTTGGAGACAGGGTCTTGCTTTTTGCCCAGGCCAGCACCACAATCTTCTTATTTAATGCTTCCCAAAATAGCTAGGATGAGAGACATGTGCCACCCCTCCACTCTCCTCCCACCCCTGTTGCAATGGGGGTCTCATGAACTATTTTTTTTTGCCAGGGCTGGCCTGAAACCACAATCCTCCCAATCTCAGTCTCCTGAGTAGCTTGAAATGACAGATGTGTACCACCACACCCAGCTATGGTTGAGATGAGCTCTCTCGAACTTTTTGTCAAGACTGGCTGGCTTCGAACCTTAAAACATGATAGTCCCGATCTTAGCCTACCAAGTAACTAAAATCACTGTGAAGATAGATGGTTGCACCAATTTGTCACTAGATTAAAAAACACAATCTATGTACAGCTAAGCAGGCACTCTACCATCTGAGCTACTCCACCAGCCCAAGGTTTATATATATAAACTTTGAACCGAGATCCTCCTGATCTCTGCCTCCTGACCTAAGTAGGATTACAGCTATGAGCCACTGGAACCTGGTCAAGGTTTATATTTTAAATGAGTGAACTGTATGGGTTGTGAAATGTATCTCACTTGAGGCATGGCTCAAGTTTTCTGCTACCAAAAAAAATGCCTAGAGGGACTGGGACTCTCAGTGGCACAGTCCAAGGCCATGAGTTTAATCCCCCAGCACACAAAAACAAACAAAACAAATCCTTAGAACTAGGGTAATTGCAAATTGAAAATAAATAATGACAGTGCTGAATATCAGGTAGCTTTCCAGGCACTCCAATCTAACTTCATACCCTCCCTAATTACTACCCTCACTCTCTCCCATCATTCTGGCCTTAATCCCAAAGGATTTTTTTTTTGGTTTGGTGGCACAGGGGTTTGAACTCAAGAGCCTCACACTTGCTTGGCAGGTGCTCTACCACTTGAACCACTCCACCAGCACTGTTTTATGGTGGGTGTTTCTGAGATAGGATCTCACAAACTATTTGCCTGGGCTGGCCTCACACCGTAATCCTTCTGATCTCTGCCTCCTGAGTAGCTATGATTATAGGTGTGTGACACCAGTGCCCAGCCTCTTTCTTTCTTTTTTTTTTTTTTTTTTTTTTGCTGTACTGGGACTTGAAATCAGGGCTTACACCTTGAGCCACTCCACCAGCCATTTTTTGTGAAGGATTTTTTTGAGATAGGGTCTCACAAACTATTTGCCCAGGGCTGGCTTCGAACTACAATGATCCTCCTAACCTCTGCCTCCTAAGTAGCTAGGATTACAGGCGTGAGCCACCAGCCCTAGCCCCAAGGGCTTTTTAATGCTCTTTCTTCTTCCCAGGATTCCTCCCTGACTAGTACCGTGTGTCTTCCTGAATGATCCAATTTAAAACAGCCAGCTCTATGAGCATAGAGTGTAAGCCTTAGAGTGGTTGAGATCAACTAAGTTTGGGTATGAGGCATGGTCAAGACTGAGACACTCAGGAGACTGAGGCAGGAGGATCCCAAATTCAAGGCCAACCTTGACTACACATGGAGACCCTGTCTCAAACAAAACAGCACCAACATGGCCTCCATAATCTCTTCATTATCTCCCATTTCTTGGAGAGTGGTAGCGTGCCTGCCAAGCAAGTTCAAAAGGCCCTGAGTTCAAACTCCAGTACCATCAAAAAAAAAAAAATCAATATCCTCGTTTCTTTCCTAGCAATCACCAACTCAGAAACTTATTTCCTTTATTCTGTTCATCCATGTTAGTTTGGGGCTCACTGCCCCACAAGGGCAGGGATGATTGTCTTATTTACCCTGTCTGTATCCTTAGCACCTTGAGTTAAGCGTCCTTTAGATGAGCACCCAGGACACACTAGTGGGAAGAAGGAAGCAATGAAGTGACCTGGGCTGACAGCTCTCTTGTCCTTTGGGTCCAAAGGCTGCTCTCCTGGGCCACCTTGGCTGTGTCTCAAGAGCCTTGGCAGTTGCTTTTCCCAGCCCTTCTTCCTCTGCCATCCACAGGCTCCGTCCTTGCCAATTTTTCAAGCAAACAGTAACTCTCTGTGCTGGGAGTGTGGATGAGTGGTAGAGCACTTGGTTAGCATGTGTAAGGCCCTACGTTTGATTCCCAGAACCAGAGGGGGAAAAAGTAACTCTCACCAACACCAGTGGCTCACTCCTATAATCCTAGCTACTTAGGAGGCAGAGATCAAGGGGATCGAGGTTTGAAGCCACCCCGGGCAAATAGTTCAAGAGACCCTATCTCGAAAAACCCATCACAAAAAAAAGGCTGGAGAGTGGTTCAAGGAGTAGGCCCTGAGTTCAAACCCCAGTAAAGCAAAAAAACAAAAACAAAAACAAAACAACTCTGGAGCATTTTCATCCTACCTGTGAGTTACCCTGGGAGTCCAGACCTGTCCCTCTAGCTCTAACATATCCTTATCCTGCTAACCACTGCCATCTGAACAGCAAAGGGCACCTCAAATTCATTTTCACTCAAACTGAGCTGACTCCCTTTACCCCAAACTTGCTTCACTGTCGGTATCACACATTTGACTGGTGACTCCACCAGCAACTAGGAACCCAAGCCTCCCTCTTCTGTGACTATTGTTTCTGCTTCTAGGTAGCTCTGCCCCACCTCCTCCCCCTTCTTCCAGTTTATTTCCCAAAGCCACAGAATGCCATTTCCAAACTTCATATGCAAGCCTGCCTCTCCTTTTTTTTTTTCCCTGCCTCTCCTTGCATTACTTTTTTCTGTTTGTTTTTTTTTTTTTTGGTGGTGCTGGGGTTTTGAACTCAGAGCCTTACACTTACCAGGCAAATACTCTCTCTCTTGAGCCATGACCCCAGACTTTTTTGCTTTTTAATTATTTTTTTGGATAGGTCTCATGCTTTTTGCCTGGGCTGGCCTCAGACAGTATTCCTCCTACCTATGCCTCCCTTGTAGCTGGGATTACAGATATGCCCCTTCTCTCCTGGCTTGTTTATATTTTTTTTCCAGTGGGACTGGTGTTTGAACTCAGGGCTTCATGCTTATAAAGCAGGCACTTGCAAAACAGACGTTTTACCACTTGCTCTGTATTTATTTATTTATTTTTTTGGTACTGGGGTTTGAACTCAGGGCCTACACCTTAAGCCACTCCACCAGCCTTTTTTTTTTTTGTGATAGCTTTTTTCAAGGTAGGGTCTTTTGAACTATTTCCCCTGGCTGGCTTCAAACTACAATCCTCCTGATCTCTGCCTCCTCAGTATCTAGGATTGAGTAGCTAGGATTATAGGCATGAGCCACCAGTGCCTGACTTGTTCTGGTTATTTTGGAGGTAGGGTCTTGCAAACTATTTCCCTGGGCTAGCTTCAAACTGCAGTCCTCCTGATCTCAGCCTCCCAAGTAGCTAGGATTACAGGGCTGAGCCACCAGTACCCAACTCTGGCTTGTTCTTTGACATAGGGTCTCAGTAACTTTTTGCCTGAGTTTGGCCTCAAACCTCAATCCTCCTATCTACATCTCCCAAGTAGTTGCAATTACAGGTATCCATCATGCCCTGCCTTACCTTTACCTTTCCATAGCTCACCTAAGAATAACTTCCAAATTCCCTTTGTGATCTGCCTTCTTCTGCCTCCTACCCCACCTTGTTCCTCTAGCACTTTCTGCTTCACTATGCTGACTTTCTCACAGCCCACAGCCTCATCAGATTCTTGGCAAATTCTAGGCTTTCAAACCATGGTTCCTTTATCTACAACATCCTTGACCCCTTGTCCACCTTTCACTGAGGCTTCAAGGCCAGTAAAGAGTCCCTGGTTCCTCCATAAAGCTGTTTTGTCTTTATGGTGCCATGTGTCTAGGGCCACCTTCATTACTGTTCTTGTCCTACTGCACTGTAAACACACGTTTCTATGGGGTACCCTGTCTTTTCTTTTCTTTCTTTCTTTTTTTTTTTTTTTTTTTTTTTTGCAGTACTGGGGCTTGAACTCAGGGCCTTCACCTTGAGCCACTCCACTAGTCCTTTTGTGATGGGTCTTTTCGAGATAGGGTCTCTCAAACTATTTGCCTGGGCTGGCTTCAAACCTTGAGCTTCCTGATCTCTGCCCCCTGAGTAGCTAGGATTACAGGCATGAGCCACTAGCGCCGGCTGTACCCTGTCTTGAATGGTGACTCCTTAAGCACAGGTCTGGGTGTGACTTACCATGGGCACCTAGCCTGATTCTTGGCAAACAGCAGGTTCCCAATGCATGTGTGTTGAGTCAGCAAATGAATGGATGCCTAGTCACTTGTCTCACCACCACAGACCTCAAATGGACATTCCTTGTTTTCTGAAAACTCACTTGCTACTACCAAGCTGGCTTTCGTCTTCACTCAAGAGGAAGATTTTGTACCATCTCTCCTAAAATCTCCTGCTACTGTCTCCCTAGTTCTCCAGAGGCCCCAGAAGTCCCCAGAGTTCTCTTATTTCCACCAACCAAATCTACAACCCACCTGTTCTCAAGATCCCTTTTGACACCCTTGTGATTATGGGAGATGTATCCTGTCTTCCTTCTAGAAACATCTTCTTTCACCTTTTTGGATGTTACTGTGAACGTACCCTATCCCTGCCTCTGCCCCGGCTAGCTCAACTCTCACACAGACTGTGTATGGCACCCTAGCTAGCTTCAAATCATACCTGCAACACTTTGGATGGCTGTGACCTTGGATAAGATGTGTACCTCCAAATGTAACTAGAATATTTTACTGTTAGTGATATTGTGGGGATTAAATAAGATTGAACACAGCTGGGTGTGGTGGTCACACCTATAACCCCAGCAGTTGGTAGGCTGAGGAAGCGAGTTCCAGACCAGCCTGGGCTATATAGGGAAACCCCATGGCAAAAAAAAAAAAAAAAAAGATCAGACACAGACACGAGTGTTATTCCCCAGTGCCCACCCCGCTAAAAAGTACTTAATAACTACTACCTAAGATGAATATAGTGTTGCTATAAGGACTAAACATTCCTTTGATTCATGCATCTCTATACCTACTGGCCCATTTCTCTGCTCCTAGTCACTTCTAAAAAGGGTTGTCACTGTCTCCAATTCATATTTCCCATTTTCTTTTCCACTCAATCCATACTGACCTCCATCCTAACTACATCATTGAAACTGCTTTAGTCAAGGTCACCAATTGACTTTGATATTGCTAATCCCAGAAGTTCTATCTCTGTTCTCATCTCATGTGACCTCTCAGCTCCTTCCACATAGACAGTCACATCCTGCTGCCTGAAGCAATGTCTCTCTTGGACGTCAAGACACCACCCTTCCTGGGGTTCTTCCTCTCTTTTTCGAGGCTTCTCAGTCTTCTCAGTCTCTTCTGCCAGCTTCCCTATCCTCCCTACTTCTAGAAGGCCATGGGCTTCATTCTTGGGGCCTTCTTTCCCCAGTATCTCATCCAATCTCGTAGCTTTAAATAACATCTACCTGACCATGACTTCTGGCTTTCTAGTCCGCACCTAGACTGAGCCAGTCCATTATGTCTAGTCATCTACTGGTGAAATTCACTTTACCATCATTTATTCTTTTTTTCTTTTCAGGGAAGAGCATGAACGCAGTCCCCCACTACCACAAATTATGCAGTCGAGTTTCCCACATTTGGGGAAATCGCAGGGGTCAGCACATCCAGAGTGCAATGGATAAGCCTCACCCTGGGAAAACCACCTTCGTGATCATGGTATCTCCCCTGCCAAGTAAGTATTCTATCATTTATTCTTATTTATTACTTGACATCTCAAAGTTAATTATCAATTTACACATTTCCCAACTTATTTCCTCCCTGTTGAACCCTGTATTAGGAAATGGGGATGATGATCCCCAGAGATATTCAAGTTTAAAATCTAGAAGTGAAAAAGCTGGGTGAGGTAGCCTACATCTGTAGCCCCATATACTGGGAAGGCTGAACAGGAGGAGCCCTTGAGCCATGGAGTTTCAGACCAGCCCGGGCACTACAACAAGACTTCTGTCTCCAAAAAAAAAAAAATCTAGAAGTCATTTGTGATTCCTCCCTTTTTCTTACTCGTCACATACCACCCACAAGTAAGTCCTATATCTTCAAACTATATAACCACATGCCAAACCCATCCATTTCTTTCCATGTCTGCTGCTAATGCCCTAGAATGAGCCACCCTACTGCCTTGCCTACTGGGCTTCCCAAATGGAAGGCGATTCGAGATGAGTGAACAGCATGTGCAAAGTCCAGAAGAGGCGCACTGTGACACAGGCGTGTGAGCCCCGCAAGTGTGGAAAATACATAAGGAAGTGCTAGGAAGTGAGGTTGAGATCAGACCCCACAGAGGCTGGAAGCCAAGCACAAAAGTAATGGGATAAGGAAATGGAGGTTAAGAGGGGCTTAGCTTGGCAGCACAGGTGAGACAGAGTGAAGGGATGGGGAGAATGAGGAATGGGGCAGGGGCCAGAGATGGGTTTCACGTTCTGAGGTTTCAGGGCTGAGGGAGGGAGGAGTAGGAATGGAAAAGATGAGCAGAGATTAAAACCAGTTGAAGAACAATGATCAGAGCAGGAAAACCCATGGAATATAGAGGGGGAAGAAAAGGTCACAGGTGCTTCTTGGAGGAGACTGAGAACTGGGACCACTGATTTGGTGGGGGGTGCTAGCCTGGCTTCTTGGAGGAAGGCAGGGTTTTTCTGGGGCCCCATGCCTGGGTTTCAGAAAGAATTAAGCACTGAGAACGCTCAAGAACTAGCTTCTGGGGCTCCTCAGCTGAAGGGAGGGAGGAGGTTGGGAAATCAAAGGTTTGGGTTCCCTTCCCAGAAGGCCATTGCTGTGGGGATCAGGGAAGACTTCAGAGATGGGGATGGGGATCTCACCTGCCTGTGCTCCGTCCTGTCCTGGTCGTGGATGAACTGTAAGACACAGGGAAGTGTTGGTGAACTCTGCCCTGCCCCTCTGACACCCCTCCTTCTAGACATGTTCACCCATCACCCACCTTCATAGTGGGCTGCAACCGCTCTGCGAGCCCGTGCTTTCCGGCCTTTAGGTGCTGAAAATCAAGGCAAGACAGATGAGCCAAGCAGAGCCCTCTGGGAGTCCGGGAACCAGTCCCCAACCCAGCTGTCCTCTCAGGACCTGGCATTCTTAGAGCTGTCCAGATTCTTGGCTAAGAACCTATGCCCTCAGGACTGGGGACATGGTTCAAGTGATAGAGCACCTGCCTAGCAAGCAGGAGGTCCTTAGTTCAAACCCTAGTACCCCCAAAAGAAAAAAAGGAAAAGAACCTACGGCCAGGGAACTCTAGAATGGAGAATCCTTGGTTAAGTGCGTACGTGCTAAAAGCCCTGTTCTCTTTCTCTCATGGCCTCTTTGCCTACATGCTGCAAGCTACTGTTCTAGGTCTGGGCTTTCTGACTCCACAACCTCCTGAAACACATGAGAGCCCCCCTCTCACCCCCACCCCAAGCACCAGGCCCGGTGCGAACTGATAAGGAAAAGGCAGAATATGTCCAGATCTTCCTCAAGATTAACCTAGCTCTGGAATGCACAGCGCCATTTATGGCCCCCTGCATCTGATTCCAAGTAAAGAAAAAAAACAAAACAAAAAACTCTGGTTTAATCAGGTTAAGGCGGGCTACTTTGACCAGGAGTTATCTTTTGTTCTTTTCCCCCACCATGGCTTTTTCCTAGGTGGTCATGGGTAATCATATGCACAGAGTGATAGGCCATGTACTAACACTAATTTTCACAACTTTCACAAGACCTATAGGCTGGTCTTGGGGAGGCATTTAATGTTCCTCCTAAAAGTTCAATAAAAACCTATGCAGGATATATGTCCTCGTTGTTGTTCTTGAGTTCTCTTTCTGAGATGACCCTGAAAGTGCTTTTTCTATTCTAATAAACTATGTTTTCACGAAATTTCCCACCTTGCCTGAAATCTCTCACCTGACGCAAGAATTGGGATAGCTGTGCTGACCCTCCTGTAACAGAATGACTATAAAATTTATCATCCAAATTGGAATACTTTGAGAGCAAAGGGGGATGCTATTAATAATCACTCCCGACTGGGTTATAGCTCAGTGGTAGAGCACTTGTTTAGGATGCATGAGGACCTGAGTTCAATTCCCACAGTCCCACCCATGGAAACCAGCACACGTGGTCATGTGGCCACCCCATTCATAAGTGCTTTTGCTTATTGAGAGCCAGGCCTCTGACTCCCCACACCTTGTCCTCATCAGAACTTCAGGGATTCCCTAGCCCCTGGCCATTTGGGGTAAAGTCCATGAGAAGCAGGTCCATGTGATGAAAGGAGCTTCAGAAGGTAGGGTTATAAGTCTTAGGTTCGAGTCTCAACCGATTAGCTGCATGACTGTGAACCTCCCTTCACACTCTGTACCCCAGTTTCTCTATGAGGACAATGTTTTTTGTTCTGCCCACTTCATAGGGCTATTATGTTAAAGCAATGTAGTAATGAACCTAGAAACTACCACAAACTGGTCACTCTTATCATTCCTGAGGTTGAGATAAAGGAATGCTGCTCTATCATTCCTGCTCACCACTTCTTCGAGGACGGACTAGTCGTTTCAGGAAAGGCATGACATCCTGGCTTTCCTCTGTCTGGGATTCAGTTCCTAGGGGAATTAAGGACAGAGTTCAAGCCAGGCACCAGTGGCTCACACCTGTAATCCTAGCTACTCAAAAATCAGAAATCAGGAGGATAGCAGTTCGAAGCCAGCCCAGGTAAATAGTTCTTGAGATCCTATCTCAAAAAAAAACCCATCACGCCGGTCGTGGTGGCGCACGCCGGTAATCAACGAGGCGAAGAGGATGAGGCAGGAGGATCACGAGTTCGAGGCCAGCCTGGGCTACACTTTTTAAAAAAAAAAAAAAAAAAAAAAAAAACCCATCACAAAAAAAAAAGGGCTGGTGGAGTGGCTCAAGGTGTAGGTCCTGAGTTCAAACTCCAGTACCACAAAATAACTAAATAATAATAATAAAAAGAACAGAGTTCAATCAGGTCCTCTCACAGACAGGGTGTATCAGAAGAACCACTAGCCAACAATTGGCACAGAAGTCCAGGGGACTGGTCAATCAAGCTGGAGGTCAGGCCAGATTCTCATCCCTCTCTGGAGACCAGCCACACTTTCCTGCCCCCTACCCCCAACTGGTACAGACTCTGCACTATGCTGGCACGTTGCACACACGTCCACAGTGGGTCATCATATCCCATGACCTATGGCAGCTTCCATGTCCTACCTCAGGCTCATGTATCTCACAGCCCAACTTTGCCCACAGCCAATCAACACTTCCCACTCAGGTGGCACAACTCCAGCACATACTCCTAGACATTGTGGTCAGCCTCTCTCTGTCTCTGTCACAGACATGTCCTGGCACACCGATGCACCGTCTTCACTCACAGAGACACACACCCATGCATGCAAGTCTTCACACAGTCAAATACACTTTCTTGTCTGCAGCTGGCACACAGCAACCAGCACCTACTTACCGGGGGCGCCTCGTCCTCCTCTGTCATCAGCTCCCCTTGGGAAGGCTCCTGCTGGGAAGGAGGCAGTGTCACCCTGTCCTCCACCTGACATCTCGCCCTCCGCCCACCCTCCAGTGCCCTGGCCCTCTGCCCACTCAACCCCATCTGTTCCTCTGCAGTTTCAGCAACTAATGTGCCCAGGGCAGGGTGCGCTGCGGGCCTCACCTGGGCAGGCAGCGATGCCCAGCTCCTCAGGCTGACCGCGGCCAGCAGGAGGCCAAGGCAGGCTAGCGCCAGGCCCAGGCCCAGTACGAACGGGGCCAGCAGGGCGGTGCCCGGCTCCCCACGGCGCCCCCTCCGCCTCTGGCTCCGACGGGCGGCCATGGGGCGGGGGGCTGTTCCTGCCTCACCGCCCCCCCATCCCGGGACCCAAGGGATCGGGGGAGGGGGAGCCGGCGGGCGGATCGGGTCGGGGAGAGGGAGGGGCAAGGGAAACTGGGCGGGAGGGGGGCGGATGAGGACAGGAAGCCGGACACTGTTTGTGTGTGATTAAACTCCAGCCTCCCAGCCCAGCGCAGTGCACGGGGCGAGCGTGCGGCCAGCGCACCGAGCTCCGGGGCGGGAGGCCCGCCGCGCTCGGCACAGTGCCCGCGGCGGGAGGTGCGTGTGCGTGCGAGGGCCACCGCGCTGGGACCGCGATGCACTCCACGCAGAGGCCGGCCAGAGGGAGCGAGAGCAGAAACGGGCAGTGTGCCGGCTGGTGGTCGGCCGCGGCCCTGAAACTCCTACAAGGCTGGTCCTGCCCACTGGGCTCCAGACAAGAGGAGCCCGCACTAGGCAGTGGGTGTCGGGGGCTGTTACACCCTCAGCCGACACCCATCACTTTGGGGTTTTATCAGCGCCGCCAAAGGACAGTACTTTCCAGGAAGTGACTGGAAAAACAGCCTGCGGACAGCCATAAACTTGATCCTGTTTTCGCCTCTGTCAGTAAAGCAATAGGCAGTTTATTTAAATTTCTGCGTCCTACAGCGAGAGAAGACAAGCCAAGAGAAACGGTGCATCCGCAGTCAGTCTGCGCCCACGAGGTGCTTCTCCGAAAACAGCAGCGCCACAGCAGGTGGTATTAGATACGGAGTTCAAGGTAGAGCTCCGGCAGCCCAGAAAGGAATTTGGTAAAAGCTGGACTCTTTGTTTGCCTTGAAAAGTTTTGTGAACAGCAAGGTCCTCAAAGGTTCATGTAATCTGTAATGTTCACCTGCACGTTTTCATCGAGAAGTATTAGAAAATTCTGTTTCAAGAACAGTAATTGGGGAAGGGTGGCTGGGGGTATACTCAGTTGGTAGGGTGCTTGGCTAGCATGCCTGACCCCTGGGTTTGAGCCTCAGCACAGTATAAATAAATAAATAAATAAATAAAAATAAATGTAATAATTAAACACCAGGTGAAGCTGTGGGTCTGCATATGGTAAGAAAGTGGACAGACAACCTCCTGCTGTACTCAGTCCCTTCCTCTTTCCCTGCTCTTCTGTCTCCATCGGGTCTAACCACACCTTATCTCCCATACTGGGAACACTCAGACCACCTCCACCCCAGCTTAAGTCCCTTCAAGGGAATTTTTCAGATCTCCATCTTTCATCAGTCTCAGTTCTGGTGCCCTTCTTTCCTCCCTCCCTCCCTCCCTCCCTTCCTTCCTTCCTTCTTCTCTGTGGGGCTAGCGTTTGAACTGGGCGTCATGCTTGCAAAACAGGTGCTTTACCACTTGAGCCACACCTCTGGTCCATTTTGCTATGGTTAATTTGGAGATGGGGTCTCATGAGCCATTTCCCATCACTGGCCTGAAACCATGATCCTCTTGATCTCAGCCTCCCAAGTAGCTAGGATGACAGGTGTGAGCCACCAGCGCCTTCTTTCTCTTTTTGCGGTACTGGAGTTTGAACTTTGGTCCTACATACATCTTGAGCCACTCCACCAGCCAGTTTTTGTGAAGGGTTTTTTTCCAGATAGGATCTGTTAAGCGATTTGCCTGGCGCTGACTTCAAACTGTGGTCCTCCTGATCACTTGTCCTGAGTAGCTAGGATTACAGGTGTCAGCCACCAGTGCCTGGCTTCCCAAGGCCTTTTGATAAAAGCCATGTCCAAGGAGACCAAGCAGAGTGGCCTAGCAGAATGAAAGTCTCTATCCCATATTGTGGAATGCTGTAAAGCAATCAAAACAAGAATACTTGTCTTTTTTTTTTTTTCTTGCAGTGCTGGATATCAAACCCAGGGCCTCATACATGCTAGGCAAAAACTAGCTGAGTTAGCTCTTGGAAAGGGGTGTTTTTGAGGTTATTAGGCAAGAATTAGAAGAAATCAAGGAAAGAAAATTCCAGATGCAAGGTGGTTCCCAAGACTGTTGTCTGAGTTGGGAGAAGAACTAAAGAAAACCTGAGGAGACCTTGCACACAGTCCCAAGGAGAATGGCTGGAGCCTCCACTAGGCCTGGGGTTGAGGAAAGGCTTGATTTTTACAGCCATAAACCCTGTTTCTTCCTTCAGATTGCCAGACAGCTGGAAAGCTGTCACATGAAAATGCTTGTGTGTTCTCTTTTTCCTGGGGATTGAACTCAGGAACTCACACTTGCTAGGGAGGCGCTATACTGCTTGAGGCACTCCACCAGCCCTGCTCATGCTTTCTTGAAGTAACTCAGTCTACTTCCTTAGCTTCCCAGCTTTCTCAGCCCTGAAGCCAGGGCTTTTAAAGCCAGAGCTCTGAGATAAACATGCAAACCTTGTGTTTGAGACATGACCCTAATATTCAGTAAATAATTCTTTGATAGCCACGGACCTTGATAAATGAGCCATTACCATGGGCCTCTGTCAATGTGTGTACTGGGTGTGTGGAACAATCAGAAAAGTAAACAGAATTTCTGATTTGAGGCCAAGGGAGGCATGCTACTTTGCTTCCAATCCCTCCTTAGATCAAATAGTTCAAGAGACCCTACCTTGAAAAACCCCATTACAATAAAGGACTGGTGGAGTGGCTCAAGGTGAAGGCTCTGAGTTTGAGCCCCAGTACCAAAAAGAAAAAAGAAAACAAAGTAATATAATATAGCAGCAGAGAAAATCTACAATATGTAGGTAATTTTTTTCTCCTTTTCTGGCTGGATATGAAAACAGATCAAAGACAGGTTAACAGAAGAGAAGTGTTCAAATTTATTTCACATACATTTTATGTGACATGAGAGCCTTCAGAAATGAAGACCCAAGGAAGTTGGGAAAGCTGAGTATTTTTATGCTAAATTTGATGAAGTGGAGGAGAGTTGTAGGGAGATATAATTGGACAAAAGAGTATGATGTAATGGTAATAAATTGAGGATCTTTGCACTCCTTGTCTGTTCAGATTCTTTTCTGTGTTCCTGTGTCTTCGGAGAGAAGGGTGTTCCTTGCCTCCAGGTAGAGGAACAGCACCTCTCACTCAAGAGTCTTATTACCTGCTTCAGGAAAAAAATAAAAAACAAAACAAAAACTTTGAAGCTGGAGGAAACAGAGATGATTCAGGGCACAGAGAGAACTACCTACTACACTTAATAAGACTCAAGAAGACAAAGCAAGAACTGGCTACTATATAAAAAAGGAACAATCAGAGAGCAAGAAGTATTTCTCAGAGACTAAAACTGTGTTTGCAGAAATCAAACCTTCAATAGAAGGATTTTAAAAACTTGAGAGTTGAGGATGTGGCTCAGTGGTAGAGTGCTTGCCTAGCATGTGTGAGGCCCTGAGTTCAAGCCCCAGAAATGGGGGAAAAAAAAGCCTCTAAAAACATGGGAAAAGATAATAATCAGAGAGAAAAGCTATCAAACATGGAAGACTATTCTCGAATGACCATATGGTTGTCAGGAATCCCAAGAAATTAGAATGAATAAAATGAAGGAAATGAAAATATCTTGGGAAGAAAAGTGAGATACTTCCAGAACTGAAAGACTTGCCTTCATTCTGAATGGCTTTAGTTTGCGCTCAATGAAGAATCATTCAACTGGGAGTGAGACACAAATGGTAGAGCGCTTGCCTGCCAAGCAGAAGGACCTGAGTTCAGTGCCCACTGCTGCCAAAAAGAAAAGAAAAATCATCCATAGCTAGACACTTCCTGGTGAAATTTCAGAATGTCAAGAATAAGGAGATCTGTAGAAAGAAAAAATAATTCTTCTCCAAAGGAACAAGAATCAAAATGACTTTCATTGGTAACACTGAATCCTAGAAGACTGAATGAAGAAATGCGTGCATGTTTTTTGTTGTTGTTGTTGTTGTTGTTTTGCAGTACTGGGGTTTGAACTCAAGGCCTCCACCTTGAACCACTCCATCAGCCTTGTGTGTGTGTGTGTGTGTGTGTGTGTGTGTGTGTGTGTGTATGTGTGTGTGTGATGGGTTTTTTTTTTTTGAGATAGGGTCTTGAAGTCCTATTGCCTGGGCTGGCTTCAAACTGCAAGCCTCCTGCTCTCTGCCTCCTGAATAGCTAGGATTACAGGCGTGAGTCACCGGCGCCCAGAGCCTGCATGGTTTATTTATTTATTTATTCATTTATTTATTCATATGTGCATACATTGTTTGGGTCATTTCTCCCCCCTACCTTGTGCCCCCTCCCTCTCCCCCTCACCCCCCCTTGTTTCCAGGCAGAACCTGTTCTGCCCTTTTCTCTAATTTTGTTGAAGAGTAGACATAAGCAATAATAAGAAAGACAAAGTTTTTGCTAGTTGAGATAAGGACAGCTATACAGAGAGATTCCTAGCATTGCTTCCATGCACGAGTGTATTACTACCCAAATTGATTCATCTCTACCTGACCTCTTCACTACTTCCCGATCACCTTCTCATATTGATCTCTGTCGCTTTAAGGTTATTTATTGTATTAGCTCCTCTGCAGTGGGGACATCAAACACTTTCAAGTTTTGTGTTACCTACCTATCCCCATTCCTCCCGTATGTGCTCTCCCCTTAGTGCGTGACCCAAGTCCAACAACATTGCTGCATTTGCCCTGGATCTAAAGTCCACATATGAGGGGGAAAATACGATTTCTGAGCCTGGCTAACCTCACTCAGGATGATGTTCTCCAGTTCCATCCATTTACTTGCGAATGACAAGATTTCATTCTTTTTCATGAGCCTGCATGGTTTTAAGGGAAAAGAATATCTACCTAGAATTCTATAGCCAGCCAAACTATCCTGCAGTGTAAGGGTAAGATAAAGATGTTCTGGCATGCAAAATTGGCCTCCACTTACCCTTTTCTAGAAAATGGAGGATTTATTTCAGAAAATTCGGAAGTAAACCAGGAAGAAGACAATATTCAAGAAACAGTGAATTCTAAGAAGATCAGTGAACAGAGGTGCCAGGATGACAGCTGTGGAGAAAGCCTAGGAAGTAATGAATTCTAATCAGAAGTTGAGAAAAATGGAGCCTGAATTACGCAAATAATATGAAAGATTTTTTTGAGATAAGGTCTTGCTATACAGCCCAGGCTAGACTTGCACTCAGTATGTAGAGCACACTGACCTGGAACTCATGATCCTCCTGCCTCAGCCTCCCCAGTGCTGGGATTACAGGCATGTACCACCATACTCAGCATGAAAGATAATTGGAAAAAATATTTGAAATTTGATACCTTAGTTTGTTTTCTATTTCTAGTAGCCACAAACTGAGTAACTTGAAAGAAAAGAGGTTTAGTTTGGCCCATGGTTCTGATCCAAGGTTGAAGGACCACATCCAGTGATGGCCTTCCTGCTGGCAGAGTCCCAAGGAGGCATACCCATCACATAATGAGAAAAACCTATCAAAGTGGCTTTTCTAATTGACCCACTTTGGAGTTAGTCCATCAATCCATTAATTGCCTGAATGGATTAATCCATTAATGAGGACAGAGCCCTAATCACAGATTCTTTAAGGTTCTGCCTGGTCTCATCTATCTCATGATGAAAGTTAAATTCCATCATGAGTTTCAGATGGAACCAACCATATTCCAACTATAGATATGATATAGGTAAAGGATGAAAGAAGAAAGAAAAATGAGTAGATTCTCTCGAAAAAATTCTAAACTAAATAAATTCATGATTTAAATGAAAAACAAGTTAAATATCATGAGTGCATTTAACTGATTCAATATCAATTAAGTACCTCAATTCTTGATATATTCATCTTGGAGTGGCACATGAATTGTGAAATTGGAGAAATTGGAGAATGTTATGGTTTAGATGTAAAGTGTACCCCAAAAAGCCTCATGTATTGAAGGGTTGGTGCCCAGTGCAAGCAGTATTCAGAGGAGAGGCATTTGGGAAGCTATTGGATCATGAGGACTCTGTCTTCATCAATGGATTGATCCATTGATGGACTCAAAATTTGAATAAACTATTGAAAGATGGGTCCTGGTTACAGGAAGTAGGTCTCTGGGAACAGGCCTTTTTTTTTTTTTAGGTAGTGGGACTTGAACTCAGAGCCCCACACTTGCTAGGCAGGAGCTCTCACTGCTTGAGCCACTCTGCCAAACCTTTTTCATATTGGGTTTTTTTC